TGACTGCAGATGCGTGCCTGACCTACGGTCCGTTAGTAATAATGATCGTGAAAAAGCCAGGGGGTTCACTCACCAATCTTGCAACCACACACCAGCGACCGGGCAGTCGTGTTCAAAGCCCTGCTTCACAATGCGATTAACTTTCTCCTGTCCACCCTGAATGCCCAAAAGTGCGCCGTGATCCACCCATTCCGGAAGGGCCGGCATGCGACCGGTGTACCCAGTGAGCATGGTGATGGCGTCCAGCATGTTGTCAGCCTGCATCAGATGGCCATGCACCGAGAGACTATCGTAGCGCACCGTCACAGCATCCGGGCGCTGGAAGTCAAAGACAGCATAAGCCGTATCATTCTCTTCAAGGTAGAAGACGCGACCGTCAGAGCTGACGTACTGAGGAATGGCCGTGTAAGTGGTGTACTGGTCGCCGCCGCTAAAGAAACCTTGCGAGTCCTCGATGGCCGTGTATGGCTGGTCACCACGTCCGACACCCTGCTCGCGGGAGAAGATGGGGATCGACTGATTCTTCATGGAAGCGAAGGACGCCTGCGCACCGAGACCGTAAAAGTCCTCCCGCGCGTGCGATGCGAATGTGAGATAGAGACGTTCGACGGGGGCACTGGCATTCGCATCCGAGTCAACGGTGGCTTCAAAGGCAACGCGATCCGAAAGGGTCTTAGGAACCCAAAAGTTCATGGCATAGGCAATGTCCTCCCCACCACAGTCCAGGAGATAACCGCGCACAGCGACCTGGTTCCCCACACTGTCGCGACGAGGGATACCCGCCAGCTGGGTGATATTCTGGCCTAAGCATCGGGCCTGGTCTACGTTGGTGATGTTGAAGTTGCCGCTATCTTCGACAATCTGGTCCTTTCCAGCGCTGGCACTGAGGAATGGGTGACCGGGGAGGGTTGAGAAGATTGTCTGGTTGTGTTGGTGTATGGAGATCTGATGTTGGCTTGCCTGGTAGGACAGCTCCAGTCCACTGCCCAGGGGCCAGGTTGACCGGGCCTGTCCCAATGAGGGCAGGGCAGTCAGCGTTGCCAGGGCTCCCAGATAGGTCAACAGCATCTTGGGCGAGACACTTGATCCTGTGACGATGCTACTAATATACCGGCTTCCAGTCCGGCTTTATAGCTAGGCTTCCCCACCGCGTCCGGATCACTAGATGTCATCATTGCCATTGCGAGCCTCCACCCGGTTGAATTGATGGGGACTATACATGAGTCGCTTGCTCGTAAAAGACACCCGTCTAGGACAGACAAAGGTTGATGGTGGTGCAGGACTCGGCTCAGTTGCCCTGTGGGAAACAAATGAAGGACCATGTAGAAGCCAAAGAAAACCCTACAAGCGGACATTCCCCGACTCTAGGGCAGGCAGTGGGCCCTTCGGCAAAGCTGGCCGAAATGCGTGAAGGGCATTCGATCGTGTTTAGTCACGGATGGAGGCATCGGAAGCCACGAGAACCAGGATGCCGATTCTTACCCGAAAGAGTCGATTGTCCACTATCTGGGGAATCCGGAGAGTCTCCAGATGCCAATGATGCTCGTGCAACGGCCGCCCTCTTCCCCACAAAGCCGGTTGGGGGAGTTGATCAACTCGGCTAATGAAGTCATGTTTCCTGAATTTCAAGCAGAGTCCTATTGATCTCGTTTCTGCCGACCGTGTTAGTTCTATAGACTACTCGGTACCGGCCAATCATTTTATCCCCCCATAGTGCCCTAGTCAGGCCATGGGCTCGAGCTTCTGCTGCTGTAGGATGAGCCTAACGAGTCACATACTTGTCGGATGACGATGTAACTATGGTCAAACAACCACACGATGCTTAGTAGTCGATGGCCTGTCTCCACAACTGGAAAATTTTCATTTGACTCTTTCTGGATTGTCGCACAATTCTTACGGCCATTCTCCAACAACGGGCAATCTACAGGAGCTGCCTATAGCCTGTCGAAAACTCCAAGAGTACCCGTTTTTGCCTGCAGAGCTAATGGGAAGGTGATCCTCTGGGCTCCTGTGTCGGTTCCGACCGTCCAGTCTCATCCAGGTCACATGGCTTGAAACCAATCTATATCTGGGCCATCGCCCTATTTGTCGAAGTATTGTCTTGCAATCACACTCTGCCTGTTGTCGGTCAGCCGATTGACCTCGTACCCTGTCCGCCCATAGTCATTCGTCCTGGTTTATATGCCGTAGCTGCGGTTATCTCCCCATCTGTACTAAGGGTGATGGCTCAGATAGGCTGTCTACTGCTATCTAGCGGTGGAAGAAGGTAGTTTGTTGGCCCAGAGGCACGTCCCTTGTAACATACTATTCAAAAGGGATTTAGTACTTGGATTATCTTTCCTATTCTCGCGTCACACCGCCAGTATGATCGTGATGGAGTTCAGCTTCACCTGGCCATATTACCAGTAGTCAGTGTACGCTTCCTTGGTCTTGTCTGAGAGGATCCATGGTAAGGCAGCCTGCTGCATAGCCCAGATTGATGCCAAAAATAAATTATGCTTATACCTTGACAATGAACTGATCGTATTTTTAGAAGTCGGTGGTCGGAGGCTCGAGGGGATTAAGATTTACTTCGCCCAACCCCGACCGCGGGGAAATGGTGGAGGGTGATGATGCAGGGGTTCATCTTTCCCGACCCTCAACATAATCAGAAGAGCAGGCACCACATCATCATGCGATAGTGTGTGTTTCTAGCCTGCAGTTGGCAGTGCAGCGGAAGTCCGGCTGGGCATGAATTCTTACGAGTGCCTCCTCGTATAGACACCGTCGGCCTTGGGGTCGATGATGTCAGTATCCAGGTACTCCAAAGTATGAACTACAGGATAAAACCCTTTCTCCAAAGGAGGCATAAGCCACGTCCTTTCTTAGTTTGGGTGGCGAGCAATCGAAACGGGAAGATACGAGGGCAAGTTGGGAGATTGATTGGCGGAACCAATCAATGCCTCTTGCGGAGGGTTCAGCCGCTTCCAGCAGTATCTCAAAAGTAGCACTCATTGACGTTACCAGAGCCTGGATAATCCGGAGTTGATCATTTTCCCATTGATATCCAGCTCCTGCATGCCTAACGTTGACACTGTCTACGTTTGAAACACCAAAACTCCCCACTGGCTGAAAAAATGTCCTTTCTATCTTATACTCGCGATAATGAGCACCGTGGACGACCTACGAATAACTTACAGATTCTTTGTGTTGTTGTGATACCCAGGATGGGATATGCGCAACATTATGTGGACAACGCCCAACCGTGCGACTGCCACTACCCATGGATCCCCTCAAGGCGATGTGAGAGTCTCCGGATTCAGCCGGTGGTCATGCCGGTCACCATCTCGTGAGTTCGACATCTTCATTGCTGTGCCTCGATGGGATTATGGTACGTCTCCAGCCAGCTCCAAGTCACCACACTGACCAACTCCCACATTACCAACTTTGACTGCCCTCTCCGAATCATCAAAATGACTGGAACAGGCTAAATTCAATGAATAACAGCGTCATGACCGTGTCAACATTCATCCCGAATAGGTCAGTGTAGGTAGAAAAGGTGTCGCCTGATGAACAGCTTCCACGGTTTCAGTCAGATGAGGTAATTGCATTCCTCGTATAGAGCAAAAGTGGTACACGGGGATGCCGTAGATCATGAGAATTTGTTCAGTGCCTATACAGTTAAGGTGGCTGGACTTGTTCGATTTTCTGTCTATAAAAGGCCGGCGAGTCTCGTCTATCGATGACTCTCGAGCAGCTCAAACAATTGAGTTATATTGAAGACGTACTACTACCACTCCACTGGACCCTCACTAGACTACCTCCTTTCAATATGAAGTTCACTCTGCTTCCTGCCCTTCTTTCGACCTCTGTCCTTGGGCTCAACATCGGTCGAGCGCAAGCTACTGCCCAAGTCACCTTTATTGGTGCAGCTGGTGCCCAGTTCACCCAAGACTTCCCCACTGATGGGTCCAATGTCAAGATAAGTATGTTCCACGCGCACGACTCGTTATGTATCCCGTCTAATCTCACTAGCCAACCCCCTCAGTATCTCACACATATCTTGCAGCACCCAGGGTGCTGTCTGTACCTTTGATGGCATTGATCACAGCGTGACTACTGTGACCGGCGTAGGTCAGGTTGACGTCGGCCCTCCGCAGACCCAGGTTCAGGGGTCTTGCCGGTTCGGATCTGGATCGACCTCCAGCAATCCCGGCCAAACACAGCCCACTGGGGGTCAGGTGCTCATCACCTTCGTCGGTGCTGCAAACGCCCAGTTCCAGCAGCAGTTTCCAACCAACGGTGTCAGCACCAAAATCAGTACGTATCAGGCAAACTAGATTGTTTGGAAAGCTAACTGAGGAGAACAGACAATCCCCTAAGCATCTCCCACATCACGTCCACTACGGGTGGCGTTAAGTGCACCTTTAACGGCATTGACAACAGCGTTACTACCATCAATGGTGCCCAGACGGTCGATGTTGGTCCTCCGCAGACCCAGATCTCTGGAAAATGCCTTTCTGCTTGAGGCCATTGCAAGCCATTGTTTTCGTGCCTCTTCAGAGACTGATATGAATGGAGGAGGGGTGTGTGTTTGTCACGGCACGCATACATTACTTGTGATTTGATACTACCCTCTACATGGACTTTAGTTGTTTGCTCTTAAAGGTATTACGGTTTCTCTTAGCAGAAATTGGATTGTTTAAGCAAATACTTCCTGCACGTATTATCTTGTTTTGTCGGCTTGAGGAATTCCAAGACCTAATTGAGAAGATAGCACACCTGTACAGTGCCCCTCAAATTGAGTGCTCTGTATCACAACTTGAATATACATGATATATGAAAGTCGTACTCCACGTTAGCGGCACTTTGAGTAAGGGGTCCGCTATTGCCTTACTAAACTTAAGAAATGCAGCATCTGCACCTCGTCTGCCTTATCGAGCACCCTCTACCCTGTAATTTGGGTTTATCTACGATTTATGGAAGATCAATCAAAAGAATGACTCATATTCAACTGGGGCCCCGCAAAGTAATACTAGAAATCAAACCTATCTACAAATTCCTCCCCGACTACCTCACTCAAACTCTGTGCCAATCACATCATCACATTACTGTATGCCGATCAATCCCCTATAGATTGAGATGATCAACGTATTCTGCCACGGTTCCAGTTACAGTGACAGGCCTTGTGGGCACGCTTACTCGTAGGTGATGGTCACCTCGGAGTCGCTGTCGATGGTAACATCAGTAACCACCTGGCCATTCTCCTCGATCTCGATGATGGTAGCATCCGTAAGGCCAACGCTCTGGCCTCCCGCAGCCTTGGCAACAGCACCGGTGAAGGTGACAGTGCCAAAGTCCACCAGGTCGACGAGCGAGCCATTTTCCTCGAAGTCTTAGATCCAGTTAGCGTTTGACAGAGTTGGGACAGGAATGTGCGGATCATATTACCTTCCACAATCCACTCTGCGTTCTGTCCTCCAAGGCTGGAGCTGGATGACAGCTCCTTGGTGACCTTCTGGCCGGTGCTCTTGTTCTCAATGATAGCAATACCCGTGGTCGAGGTGTAGGACTCGACAATGGCAACAATCTCATCACCGGCAGAGATGTCGATGCCGCTGAAGTCGTAGGCGTAGTCCGGGTACCACTCATACCAGGCATCGAATGAGGCCTCTCCATCGGTCACGGTGAAGTCAACACCAGTCTGGAGAATGGCGTTTCCATAGGTATCTCCATCGATACCAACCCAGGCAGATGCAGCCTGACTGCCTCCAGAGTTGCCAGTGGGCTCAGGAACAGTGAAGGTGCCGGTCACCGCAGTGTAAGTCGCCGCGGCAGAAGGGGGCTCCACCAGCACTGCACCGGACCAGTTGGAGCTGTACTCGACGTTGGTCTGGTTCTTGGTCGAAGCAGGTCTGGCGACTGCCTGGAGGGGTCGGGATCCCTTGCCGGCGCCGCGGGCCTTGAGGCGAGCCTCGAGGCCACGCTCGGGAGCCGCGACAGCAACGCTGGCGAGGATGACAGTAGCAATTGCAGCAGTGAACTTCATCTTGATGAGTTGGGAGGTAGTGAAAGTGAGAGAAGAGGTGTGTGTGCGTTGGAAGAATGAGCTTTAATGTCTTGAAGAACGTTGTAGTGCGATGGAAAGGAGATGAGAAGAACAGCAGTTTATCCTGATATTTATAGGATGGCTCTTGGCTGAGTATCGATCAGATCAACACTCTTCACTAATGGCATCATTTTTCCTCATAACATCCTAGACGCAACGCCATTAACATGTTGAGACGATACCACAGCGAACTGACTGCTGAAAGTGGCGACATCCCGACCGTCCATATTGAGATGCATCGGAGTCCGGTGGTGAAATCAAATCACCCTAGTAAATTCAGGAGTTTAAATAGCGTCCGCCGTTTAGTATGTGTTCAGGAAGATTCAAGTAGTAGCACGTCTTTTGCGACGCAAATTGCAAGTCAAATCACGTTAACCACACTCACCTTACACCAGAAAATCTTCGTCCGGTCCATCACTGTTTGGTATTTAGCTACATAGTGTAATAGAACTTGTATAAGCGATCTAAACTCTTGGGGGGTTGGGGGGGGAGGGAGGGAAGTTAGCATTGATAATGGATATCCTTAAAAAGAGATCCGGCCTACCGATGAACAAGCTATACACAGGGCATCGTCCGCATCCAGGCACCACCGCTAAGGATGCCAAGGAATATATTAGAACAGACATCTAAGCCCGGTTAATTTATTTTTCTCGGCATTCGAGCGGACAATATCGGCATGACGGCCTATCACCTCCGCACAGAGCCCTTGAGATCAAGGTCAGGCTTAGTTCGCGTCATTTTGGTTCAGATTACCTGACTCTCCTGCAGAACCCTTGAGCTGACTGCCCCCGGAGAAGGTTACGCTCCCGTTAAGTCCGAGTCGGGGTTCTAGTGAATGATACGTGGTAATCCGTTTCCTTGACGAGACTAAAGAAGGATGGTCTGCGTTATCTACTACAATCAAGAGTTCCTTGAGGTTTGCTGCTATTTGAGTGTGGTGAATCACACAACGGAAGGCCGGGTTGCGTCATGTATTCTGATATCCGAACAATGTGTGCCTCCAGGACTGTCTTTTTTACCTAGTTGCTTATGTCGCCTTCTTTTCAGTCGTGGTGGAAAGGAATAGAGGGAATCATACTGGGCTCCCTGCTCCAGCGACCGGCTTGGCCCGCCCAGGCACACAGCCAGTACAACAGTTCATTTTCGACAGGGACTGGAGTACCATTGAATCCCTGCCGTATATGAAGGTTCCGTAACTACTAGTGATTATCGGCAATTACGGTGGCTCTAGCTATCGATGCATGACGGTCTATTACGAGAAGTAGTTACTCTTATGAGTACAGCAAAGATATATTTCGATGACACGCGCATTAGATTGAAGAAACCACGCCAAAAGCTCTATGGATCAACCAGCGTGGTAGACGGAACACAAAATAAAGGTATCTAGTACTTCTGGAGCTGTAGTATTCACAACCTAAACAGCCGGAGCATGGTGGGCGAAGTATATACACTTAAGGAGATTCTGCATTGGACGACCCGATAGCCCCTGTTTTGGTATTGGGATCCGGAACAGACCGACAGGACCCACGCCCCGAGACATTCCCACCACTCATATATATGTCACGCAAGGAGGGGTTCCGGCTGGGTGGGGAAGATGGCTTGCTCGCCTCGTCGACAGCGCATTGTGATTGATTGATTCGATTGATTCGCTTTTCGAACCCCGCCGCTAAAGTGTGCCGCCAGTTCCGCTTGGGACTTCAGTGTCGCCCAAGTCAATAATCTTCAGGTTTAGCCCACTGCCAGAATGCCGACCCAGAATGAAGACAGTAATGCTCCTCTCCTGGGAGATAATTGCGCCAGAGTATGGGAGTACTGCAGACCCTGCGTCTAGCTTAGCGCCTCATGCCTCATTTCGGCGGAACTTGGGTACGTCCGAGGCGTTCAGCATCATCATTAATATCGTAATCGGAAGCGGTCTTTTCACGTCTCTTGGCGCCATTGACACCAATGTCCCCTCTCCAGGTGCAGCACTGGTCGTTTGGTTTGTTGGGGGCATCTTGGCTTGGACAGTTGCTGCAACTATGGCCGAGCTCGGGGCGGCAATTCCTGGTGAAGGTCCGTACAGACCCTCTGTCTTCGATTCCCCTTTACCCGCTCACCCCTTTCACCGCAGGAGGTGTTCAACAGTACCTCCAGTATATCTACAGCGAGGCCTTTGGCTTCCTTGCCGCGTGGACATGGGTCGTTGCGGTAGTGCCGGCCTCACTCGTAAATCTTGAGCATTGTGTTCGTGGAAAGCATCTACAGTGCGACCGGGGTGACCGATCAACCCGATAGGACTGCAAATAAGCTTATATCCTCTCTGGTGTTGCTCGTCATTAGCATGGCGAACTCGGTCAGTACCCAATTCAGTACGCGGCTGAACACATTCTTCCTCACCACCAAGTTCGCTGCTATCGCGGTCACCATGGTTGCGGGACTGGGTGTCGTCTTCTATCACCTTGCTGGCTGGGATAGAGATAATTCACGTGAACCACAGGACTGGTTGACGAGAGCCTGGTTTGGTGCTCGTAACACCGTTGGCTTGGACGGAAGGGAGATGGAGTGGCAGAAGTTACATGGGTGGGAATCTCTCGGTCATTATTCCGACGCACTTTATGGTGCATAGTGGGCATACTTTGGATAGGATAAGGTATGAGGCAGTGAACGGGCTGCCAGACTAATCCTTGAAGTATGCTTGGATGATGGCTAATGCATCGCCAGGCAATGTATGTCAGTGCAGAACTTTCTGCTCCGGCCCGTCAGTTGCCTCTAGCCATCAAAACCGCCGTTCCCCTTATCATCCTCAGTTTCATCGCAGTGAATATTGCCTATTACATCCTGTTGTTTTGGAGAGTAGTGTCCACAACCGATAGTGTAGCAGTGGTTTGAATGCCATCATGGGTGTCACTGACCATGGAAGTGAGTATTGCAGGCTGACATCTTGCCGCAGACTTCGTTCAGCCACCTACTCGGACCTACATTTGGTGCCATAGCAGCGGGCCTTATCTGCCTGGTGGTGGCAGGATCCTTGCTGGGAAGTTCTTTTGTCGCCGGTCGCATAGTGGTTGCTGCAGCCTATTGCAACTGGTTGCCCGCCCGCGTGGGCTCCGTTTCAGGGCGATCGACCTCGACAGCAGATGCCCCCATCAATGCGATTCTCTTCTCTACCGCCGGTTCCATTGTGTACATTTTCTTCGGGGACTTCCGGGTCTTGGCGGCATTCAGTGGTCTCTGCGTATATCTTCTTCTTCCTGACCATGGTCGGCGCTATCATCCTACGGGTTCGTGAACCAGAGCTGCTCCGCCCGTACAAGCCGATGATCTGTGTTCCCGTTGTGTTTGCTTTGGTAAGTAGGTGTGTGGTTGCTTGTGGCGCTGTTTTTGCTCCTGTGCAGGCCGTTGTGCTTATCGGACTGTGGCTGGTGGGCCTAGGGTTGTATAGTGCGAGGAGGCAATGGATAGGGAAGGGAGAGGCGGAGAGTAGCGAGCAATAGCTTCGATACACGATGCAGAAGCGTGAGGGAGGCGCGCTGGATGCTAGCTCAAACCATGCGTATCCAAGTCGGGTCGATTTCAGGATTGCCTTTGTAGTCCTTTCACCCTGCTGGTAAAAAGTGGCCGGGGATGCGTTCCCCGCATCGATGAGAAAATTGGTCATGATGTAGTAGTGGTGAGTTGAATTCCGTCAAGCAATTCAACTGGCTTGCCTGAAAATGCACCGGCAAGGACATCACCTTCTTTTGCACAACGGTTGCGACTTCTCACTTGACCACCAGACAATTCTATTGACCGAGGCATTTATTCGCACAGCCTTGTGACGGCGGTGGATACTGAGAAGGAACAGCATCACAGTCTTCACCTTAATCTGGGAATAGAAAAGCAAAGCATTGTCCTGTATAATTAATATATGACCAGTGTCATTCATAATACTTACTACCTCTCGTTTACCACCCGTTCATTGTCTGTTCACTGTCCGTTTACTCTCCGTTTGCTGTCCGTTACATCATCCAGCACAGTGGGCAGACGGACCACAAGGAAAAAGGGATCCCTGGTTTCCCAAATTACAATGTAATGGATTGGAATGGACCAAACGACCCTGATAATCCTCGGAACTTTTCGCTGGCCAGGCGTTTCATGGGAATTGTCAGTATAACCCTGCTGGCCTTTGTCAGTGCCTTTGCCGGTGCCATCTATGCGCCCACACAGACTGCAGTGATGGAAGTCATGAACTGCAGCTCTGAGATCACCATACTCCCGCTTATTCTATATAATTTAGGATTAGCCTTTGGACCCCATTTTGGGACATCCTTATCTAAAACTTATAGTCGCAAAGCTGTCTATCTTACAACTACTTCTGTTCTCATATTGTTCATGATTGGTGGTGCTGTGTCAAATACTATATCGGGCCTGACTCTCTGTCGTTTCTTTGCCGCTGTTTTTGGGTTATCGAACATCAGCAACGCCTCAGCAATTATTCTGGATTATATGCATGACAGCAAACGAGGCACCGTCCTCGCCATCTATTATACACTTCCAACTGTTACTGCGACCCTGGCACCTCTCGTTGGGGGACTTATCATGATTCAGTCTGGAGAGTGGAGCTGGACACAATAGGTACCGGTAATTCTTATAGTAGCTTTCTTTTCCCCCTTGATCTTCACCAGGGAGACCTATAAAGCGGTTATCCTACGATGTCGGGCAACGCAACAGGGGATGGCGGATGTGAACTGTGAGATAACTATTAACACTAGTTTATAGCATCTCTTTATTATTCTATTTCAGCGGCCTATTCATATACTCCTGACCGAACCGATAGTAATATTTATCAGTCTCTATAATGGGTTTCTTTTCAGTTTATTATATGCATTCGTGATTTCCGTTCCTTGGGTTTTTGAGAAGTACTATGGGTTTAATTTGACCACCCAGACTCTTACCTATCTTAATATGACCGTGGGTGATATGGTTGCTTGTATTTCCTACGCTTTGATAGACCGGTACTTCTTCCTGCCGCGGCTGCATTCGTGGAAACAAGCTCACGAGCCGAGTCTCAAAATACCTCTGGAGTCTCATCTTGTATCAGCATTGGGGGGCAGCTTGCTACTTCCACCATCATTACTTATTCTTAGTTAGACTGCTAACTTCCAAGTTCATTGAATAGTATTCATAGTATTGCAAGGCCTTTCGATGTTTTCCTGCTTGCTGGTGTATTCTGGAACGAACCTGTACATGATGGACACTTATGGTCTATTTTATGGTGCATCCGCCTCGGGCGCAATGATGTTCAGTAGATATATACTCAGCTGCGCGTTCCTTATGTTTATTCTCCAGATCTTTGAAGAGCTTGGTGTAGGCTGGGCAACCACAGTTTTAGCTACTTTGACTCTGTTTATAGCTCTGATTCCCTGGATCTTTTGGATTTATGAATCACAGATTAGGAAGGTGAGTAAGTATAAGACTACCCTATGAGATAGTCCTCTTGTATTAATAACAGGCTCCTGTATCCTTTCGCCGTTTGAATTTTATGCCTTTCAACAAAGCCTTGGAGGAGGAAAGCATTTACTTAATCTTCAAGCTTGTATAAACATGAATATATTATATAGAAAATAGCTTACTTATAGTCCAGCTTCTCACTTCTTTGCGTTGGAGTAGCCTGTCACAGAGGATCAAATAAAGAATATAATAAGCTTGGTCAGCAGCTATTAAGATCACTCTCAAATTATAAAATTCGTGATATGCCTGGCTTTGCCGATTTTCTAGCGTGTGTCTATCGAGGAAGTTGTAGGTATAGAAGTAGAATCAGAGAATGAGGACTTAAGCAAGCAGTGTCGCCAAGTCTGGGATACAAAGAATATGTAACAGCTTGGGGGTAACTGTGTTCCCATGTGGCATGCCAGTTATAATTTATGTTTCTTTTAGCCTTCCTTAATTGCCCGCATCTGCTCCCCTGAGATGCCCGTTGTGACCATTTCTAGTCCCGCAAAAATCTTGTTGTAGTTTTACTGACTATCTATACACCTCTCCGGTTCACGAATCAAATTCTTGATAGGGAGCAAATTAGATTGTGTAATAATTAAATTAAATTGCTTTTGTACTTCTTCGAGTATCCGCTTTGAAAATCCAACAGAATTATCTGGCTTTCCGGATGGGGCAGAGATAATCTTATGAATGAAGCCGTTGGTAACAAGCTCTTTGCAGGAGATTTATTTGCTCATCACTAGGACTTCATTTGCTTTGGAAATCCCAAGGCGCTGTACGAAGGAGCGAGACGCTGCATCTTCGACTATGATACCGAGCGAAGAGAATGGTGTGAGGAGAAAAATATAAAAAACAGCATATATGAAGTCTGCATGTGTAATGAGAGCTGCTAGAAACCCGATAACCAGTCCATTCAGCGCCACAATAAGAATTTTGGAGAAGTTCACGAGTATATGGGTGAGGTTCATATTTGGAAAGTAGATGCTATACATGTTACATCATATATCAGTTCCGTGGGGCATGTTTTGAAAGATAGAACCAACATCGGTGCCCCTGTTTTAAGAAATTGACTATATCATTAGCTCTATGGCCATAACCCAGGGTTGTGTGAAGCTGACGCTGAAAAGAACTGTCTTGTGCCAGTTAAGACAGTTATAGTGATTTCAGGTGCTTTATCGACATTATGAAGGCTTTCTCCTAACTGAAAGTAGTGGCCCTGGTACATGGAATTGAGCTTAAAAGGGTTGTTGATAGTTATGACAGCTATATGGTCTTGTAGGTGGACTGCTATCGGACTTTGGGTTCTTATCCTGGATTTTGATCAATCGATTCAGCTATTCACACTCAAAAGCTCCATACTAAATTTATTCAAGAAAGCTCCGGTCTTGCCCCCCAGCTGATCAGGTAATATGTATATGCGGTTACCTCCATAATTGAGTCGCCTGCATAGCCCATTTCATCATCGCTGCAAGGCGTACCTCTGCATGGAGATGATTCTTCTGTAACTACCGGGTATAATGGCCAGGATCTACATGTTCAGAAAATACTATCCAAGGAGGCTATTTTCAGCTTACATTTTCTATGAGCCAGATAAAAACCGGGTATATGGTAAAGATTATATCTCAAAGTCTTGATTTCATCCGATGCGCCTTTGGAAAGTGCGCCTTCCACCGCTTCTTGACTGTAGTATTATCTACAGCGGGAAATTTTCCCCATCTTTCGTGCAATGCCTTTTCCTCCCTACACCAACGCCTTGATTCGCCAGCTAACCAACGTGCAACCTTATCCGCGTATTCATTGACGGCTTCGAACGGAACCTGGTGTGAATACTCTTTCATGACAGCTTCACGTACACGGCCAGCAGCAGCTCCGCCACTGCCTCCCGTGGTAATACCCGTAACCTGAAGTTTATCGCTTCTTAACTCCGGGAGACTTATATGGGACTTACTACCAAAGATATATAGTACACTCGGTCACAAATACAGTAATCGAGAGAACAGTGCTGTTATTTCTGGGCGGTAAAAGGGTATTGATGTCAAGAGTTCAGGATCCAGATCTGGGTGGGTTAGGCGATTTCTAGGATGGTCGGGGCCTGCATCAGGAGCAGGGAGGTCATGGTATGGTTGTCTAAACGAGGCAAGCTCCTGGGCCAGCGGAGTAGAAAGTGTTACAGGAGTTGGCCTACTAGACTGGTTATTATTCTCATGCAGGGGTGATCTTGTTAGGTCATTCCGCAAGCCATATTTTACCACCCGCTCGAAGATATGTGGGTCCCAGGTCTGAAAGAAGGCTTTTCGACGAAAGGATTCGGCTGCTGTCTTTTGGGATGGCTAATTTCCTCGTTGATGAACAGAGAACTGTAGATGAGGACGCAGCAGTGTACTGTGATTGTACAGCTTCTTGTTTCTCAGCCGAGTCACTGGACGTGTGATGGGTGGTTCGATGAGAACTATAGCCTGGAACAGTTGTGGATGGATGAGACAAAGGTTAACCCTTCGGAGGAACATGTTAGCAAGCTATTCGTGACGGCCAAGAATTACTAATATGGGGAAGTGAACAGTGCAAAACTTCCAGCACTATGTATAATAGCAACTATAGGGTGTGGCATTTCATCGCGTTTGGCATTGATTAATTGGAGAAGATCTCGGCAGTGATTAAAGTGGCTCACTGGATGACCGTTATTTAGTAGAATTACTTGTATTCCAACAATTCCATATTGTCTCTGATGGTAGGCTCATGGTTAATACCAAGAAGCTCTTGATTTACTATGCTGCCTTGATCCTGATGCGCAGGATCTGCCGCCCAAATATTATGAATACCGAGCCCGTCCCTATTGCAACGGACCTATAATTTCATATAGAGTGGCTCATAGAGCTCCTATATTGCCGGTAGTGGTTAGATAGACCTCATGCTATAAAGATAGTAGACATACCTTCGCAAATCCACCTCCTGGAGCGATTAGAGTTGTCACAGCCCTAGGAAGCGGCCTAGGGTCGCTTGTGGGAATGTACTGTTTAACAGCCAGATGAAGAACATCATCTTGTGTCCTTTTGGTGGCTGCCGGATACTCTCGAATATGTTGACACGGCACCGTATGCTCAATAACCTGAAAGGTGGTAGATGAAGACATGCCTGATAAGATAGCGCCGCATCGGCAATGTAAGAACGATCGCAGTGGCAAGGTTGCAGTAGGGCATCTATTTGTAGATTACCACCCTACATTATATTCCTAGATCAAACAAGTACTGTGGATTACAGGTTTTGCGACTAAAACCAAACAAGAAGATCTATCTCATTGCCATGAGTGATCTCTGGCTATGCTGCAACAACAAAGATTTTCGCGTGATTGAGCGCTAATCTCAACTCACAAGCTCAGGACTCCCTTGCATCTACCGAGCTGGTCTGTTACACCATGATATCACAATTTTTCTCCTTGCAACCAAGGCAAGGCTAGCCCCAAATCTCGCACTAGATCTATAACCCTGTTCACAATCTTCCCCTTCTAGATCCAATCTTCGCTTGTCTAACTAGTTCCCAGGTATCCTTCGCTGCAGGCTTCAACTCTGAAGCATATTTTGCCGAGTCAGGACTGGTTGTCTGCCGCTGGACATGCCTGGCGGCCACGCTCTGCAAGATAACGGTGATTCTGAATGCGAAGAATGCATCGCCCTACCAAAGGTCCGGTTCTGGGTCCCAGCCTGCAGCCTCCGCATACCACTGCACGCACTGCGCGCGACTAGGTAATCCCATTACCTCCCCAGAGCAAAACCCCACCACGTTTTGGCCTAGACGACTTCAGAAATAAGGATGTGTGAGATTGCAAAAGTCCGAAAGCGGATGGCGCAGTGTAGACATTTCCCAATCAAAAACCCCGATTACTCGTGATTCTGTGGGACGAAAGATCAGGTTATCAATCTTATAATCACCATGGACTATAGCATGTCGATCTCGGGGTCGAACATCGTGGCGGGAGAAAAACTCGATCATCTCGGCGAGGTGTAATAACTCTCCTATCGGTGCCCTTGTCAAGGGGTCTTCCACCTTTTCCTGTGCTCGTGATAGTGTCGTAAATGTCGACGACTGACGGTCATAGTACCCGCCTTGCTTACCAAAATTTTGCAGCCCGTTGGAGTGGGTTTTGGTGGTATGGATTTTACCCAACACGGGCACAGCATCCCTCCACCTGAGAATCCAAAGTAAGCTCATGCAAAGCCAAAAAAAAAAAAAAAAAAAAAAGGTTATGGCACAGTAGACCGGAACATGTACAAATCTGTCCTTTCTACCGGAGTCACTCCCGGCATAGTAGAGTAGGTGAAGATTCGACCATCCAAAAATTGCATAACATAGAAAGGTGTTCCGAGAATGTCGTCATCTTCGTACAAACAGTACATCCTAGGGACCGGGACATCCGTATTCTGCAGAGCAGATAGCAAGCTATATTCCCGTTCAATCTGATGGACAGCCCTGGAGAGGAGCTTTCCTGGTGGCTTCTTTCGTAAGACGTATGACACACCACCAGAATCCGTGATTTTGTAGGTTGGGTTAGACTGTCCCACCTCAAACTGTTGTGCGATACCGGTTAGCTCATCATCATAGCGCACATAGAATGAGGTAGCTCAACTTGTTCTACTTCTAGAGGAGCTCGGATTATGGGTAGCACACGAGCAAAATATTTCTCCAGGGCATGAAGGTCTATTGGCTGTTGTGGTGCATTAGACATTGTGAAGGAGTCGATGTCCCGAAAATACTGTTTTCCATATAATTCAGGTTTGACTGCTACAACGATTTTATATGCTGACCAAGTGCAAGTCAACACCCTGGAAGGAACAGGTATGATGATGTCCAAACAATAGCAGGCCATTGATGAACTTAATTCCACGAAATGAGGTTTCATTTTACATTTAGATATACTTCAAGGGGAAATACTACAACAATCTTGGATTCGGCCACTATATGACGCTATACACCAGAACAGATCCCGGACTGGAATTCTGGTTCTGCAGGTTACACAGCGTTGTCGATCAGTTCAATTCGGTGAATCGAAGACGGAAGTCCGGTGGTGGTGTTGTGGCAAACAACCCCGAAGGGTGTGGAAACTTATCATCTTCAGTCTCCACATGGAAACGTTCAACAATCAGCGCTATTTGCCGTTTGATTTGCGCCATAGCCAAGTGTCTCCCAACACAACTTCGCGTTCCATATCCGAAGGATAGCATGCAGATAGTACTTGGAGCGCCTCCTGTGGGCACCTGCTTGGGATTCTCCGGATTGGACCGATCAATCCACCGTTCTAAGTTCAACTTCTCGGCATCATCTCCCCAAATATGAAGAGCAGAGTTTATAGCCTTCGGACAGACTGCGATGTTCGTTCCACGTGGAATATGATGTCCCTTGATGGTAGTGTCGCGAATGGCTTTGCGAAGGAGGAATCCAAAAGAGGGAAAAAGCCGCAGTGACTCCATGACCATTGCGTTCAAGACAGGAAGACGGTCAGATTCATCTTCGTCAAGGGTCACATTTTCACCTTTGCTTTGCAGTACTTCCTTGCGTACTAATTGCTGAGCATCTTGATTGGCTGCAAGGCAGTATATCACAAAGGAGAGAGAACCCCCCGAGCTTTCAAAGCTACCTCTTATTTTAGTAAATTTCTTCGAGTGGAAGAATATTCGGAAAGGTATTACCCTGCAGCAAAGATGGCGTTTATCTGTCCTATGTATTCGGTTTTTTCGAGGGTCCCTAACTGTGAAACGATGGACAAGTAAGTGAGGTGGTCATATTTCCTGTCTGTCTCCGCCATTCTTATCTCCACAATTGAACGGATGCCAGTAAAAAGAACAGATTTTGCCGTATCCATTTCCCCTTCCGCGTCGGAAGGAATTAATCTGTCTAGCCAGGGTGGCAATAAGTTATGTAGGATAAACCGTTTCTTCTTCTGGCGGTTGCTAGTGAACAACATTTTCATTGCCTTGAATAGGGGGATGTTTTTGCCCTTCATAGTCTCCAGATCAATTCCCAGTGCAACTATACTTGCAGTGTCCATCGTGGCTCTGAATATAGCGTCTGTAATGCAAACAACGGTTGCTTTTCTACTTTCGAGTTGCAGGTCGCTTTCGGGAACTTTGTTCAATAGCGAAGAGATATACTCATTAAATTGCCTCGACTTGGCAGTCAGAAGTGGATGAATGACATGGATGTTCGTTTGATTGGAAGCAGGCAGGAATGTTTTCCAGTTGGTCTTGTGTACCGCCTGTTCCTGTGAAACCAGGTTATCTCCGAAAACTCGATTCGCGTATCGCCGGAAGGCACAGGACTTTTCGTAGTCGTATGAATGAGTCGAGTGTACCTCGACAAGTCCATCCTGGTCCGTAGGAACTATGTACTCGGAGCCAAATAGGCCGAAGAAATGCATCAGTCCATTTGGATAGGATCTCTCATTAATCCAATGTGTCACAGCGTTCGCTAAGGGCTCGTCAAAAATATCGAACACGTGGTCGTAGAACCAATTGGCTGACTGCAGCTGTTACCTTCAACCAGGATTTGCGGGATTAAGGTTTCATTGTCTCGAACCTGTGGGCCAGGAACATCGTTGAAGGTACTATGGCGCCTTCTTAGAAGGGTCGTGATACAAATAGCGAAAGGCAGGGAAGTCGACCAGGACTCAATGATAGTACTGATAAGTGATGTTGGGTTGTTAGTAAGAATCCCGAAATGTCGGGTGAGGACGTAAAGAAAGACACAGCAAACATAGAAAGTGGCTTTAATCCTGGTCTCGTATTTTGGCATCTTGTCGGACTTCTGTGTAACCAATGGATGGAATGGCAGGGTGGATATATTTACAAACTACACAAGAGAGTGTGGAATGTGGCCTATATTTATATTGCTTTCAACCACGTTTGGTACGACAACAGAGATGTACAAATTGACCGATATTCCACAGGCATTAGATAAGGTAAGAGCTTTTACTACTTAACTGCTTCTTTCCGACAACCTGCATATACGCCTCTGCTTAGCCTTCCTAATACAACACCCTACTTCCTCCGCCAACACTGTCCCCGGCATCTTGAGAACAGACTGGGTAAAAAACATTCACAAAATACCACCTAATTTTCACATTCCTTCAAGAGGTCGAGTATAACATTGAACCGGACGCATACAGTGATTACTTAGTCATGTGGACACCCCGTATGTCACTTTCCTTTCTTGTCATGACTCGCCCAAAAGCCCTCACTTCACCCTTGCTGCTTCTTTGGTCAAGGCGCATCAATAACCAACTTACGTTTACCTCAAAAATGATTACGAACAGTATCACCTTTCCTATTAGCAGAATACCGTTGAATGCCCAAGTTACAATTGTCCCGGTGCCCTTTCCCAGCAATGAATGTCGAGCTTACGATGGAGCCTCAGTTTGCCGATCAGAAGGGGCATGGTTTTGATTTGGATTGGTAACTTGATCGAAGAATGAATGTATCGTAAATGTCGTAAATAATACATGTTTCCTGCAAGTTGCCTTTCTATTCCCCTAATAATGCTGTCTGACCATGTACTCACCTGATCAGCAGGAGAAACAGGTAGCTGCTAGCGTGTGCATAGCATATGTCACGATGTAAATAAACGGATTGCCTATGTACGGTGGAGGTAGGCTCTAAGGCAGTAAGAGTGGCCCAGAATCAGGGAATCATCCAACCAGCACCCCACATTTGTCTTGGTACAGATTCCATTAAAGATTAAGCGTCAACGTACATTTCCAGACATTTAGTTACGGTGGCTAGACCAAGAGTTAGAGTCAAAATCTCTACTGATATGAGAATGGTGGAATTCATGACGTAGCAAGACATCTCAGCCAAGGTTAACACGATTATATGGCAAGTCCAAATGTATCTACATTATGCATGCTCATATAATTGAGCCTTTGACGACAGCGTGATGTAAATTGATGGTTGACTGCATTTTATGAGGCGAGAATTTAAGAGCAGGAAAGATTTTATATTCAGAACCCAAGTCCGCTTGCCACTCGATGACGACGATACTTATACGCCCACGTTCCTAAAGCGTAATACACTATAGGACTTGGGTAAGGTGAGTAATCTCCTGCCTCCGGTTTCTGGTGTTGTGTGGGTCGGCAGGCAAAAGTCGGGATGTCCGACGGGAGCCGAAGGCCCTATCTTCCAGGATGGTACTTGGGACACTGAATTCGAGAACGTGTAGATGATATGCGCTTTAGACCAATAGACTAGCATATATGCGTGACTGCTTTTGCGGCAAGCCGGTTTCCGTGGGGGAGGATGTCAAACAAGGGATCCAATTGCATCGAGTTCAGCGACTAGTTGAATCTGTCGGTCTCGGAAAGGAAACACGGCAGTTGAGGCGAAAGCTCGCGCGCCCCAACTCGAACAACCCCCACCTACGCTAGTTGACGCTACGCACTACCAAGCCTAAGGCGGTAATATAGGGAATTACTAGATAGCTAGATGGTCATAATCCATAGTAGGAATTACAAGGTCTCGGGTGTTATTGACGCGAGGCACTTCGCGTGTCTCGGATGTTGACAGACGAACCCCATCTCTTCCCCTCAAAAATTGGGGTATCCCAGCGAGAAGGGAAGAAACAGCACCGCCTCTGATCCATTTTCATGAGCATTATATAGGTCCAAAATGCAGTTCACGCGATGTGGACTTCACGGCTTTCATGAAGTACTAGGAATTGATGTGGACGCGATCCGCTTTTATTGGACGATTGAAACCGACGACAAACATGCCTCACAGCTCGCGTACCGGGTGGTGTTGAGTGCCGACGAGACAGCTGTGCAAGGGGATGCGACCGATCAAGCTAAGCTGGCCTGGGATTCAGGCCGGGTGATGAGCAATGAGCAACGTAACATCATCTGCAGACCCGATAATGGCTTCCAGTCGACTTGCAGCTATTACTGGAAAGTGACCGTCTGGGATCAGTCGCAGCGACCCCATCACAGCGCCGCCAATCACTTCTTCACAGCCTACCCTCGATCTCACCTGCTACCGCCCTATAGCATGAACCAGATCTACATGCCTCATACCAGCCTCATTTTCCGCTCGTGGTTCGAGGACGAGCCGAATCGATGGAAAGCCGTGTGGATTGGTGACGGTGGCGACAAACCGATCTACTTACGCAAGGCCTTCGATTTGGCGCAGCCCCCAACCCTTGCCATTCTGTTTGCATCCGGCCTTGGACATTTCAACATGACTGTCAATGGAATCCCAGCGTCAGACCATCGTCTGGACCCCGGCTGGACCAACTACCACCGTCGCGTGCAATTCACGGCCTACGATGTGACGGCCCAGTTGCAGACAGGCGCCAATGTGCTGGGCGCGCACCTGGGCAATGGTTTCTATGCGGGCGACAAAGGGGATGATCGGTTCTTCTGGCCCATGTACGAAGACAACACCTATGTCCGCTATGGCAACGAGCTCTGCTTTTTTGGTGAGCTGCATCTCTTCTACGGCGACGGCACACACAGGACGATTATTTCGGATCCATCCTGGCGCGTCCGTAAGAGCGCCACCAGCCTTGCTAATATCTATGCATCCGAAAACCACGATCGACGACAATATCCAACGGGCTGGGACACGCCCGACTTCGATGATGCAGACTGGGCCCTCGCCAAGCCACTGACTGGCCCTCGTGGTCATATTTACTACCAAACTCAGCCACCTGTGGTGTTGCATGAGACCTTCCAGCCAGTGAAGATCACAGAGCCGCGTCCGGGTATTGTCTGCTACGATCTGGGGCAGAACGCCTCAACAATGGTGCAGATGGAAGTTGAGGGACCAAGAGGATCGGAAATAATTGTTCGTTATAGCGAGACGGTCAAAGAAGACGGCACAGTGTTGATGCCGGATCCCTTGTTCAGGGAGTTCGAGACTGGAGTTTTCTCTCGCATTCTTCTGGCCGGAACGGGCGCCCCTGAAACTTGGGAACCCGACTTTAGTTTCACCAGCGCACGCTATATCCAAGTAGAAGGGGTTTCTCTGGATGGCAGTGACGGCGGCCCGGTCATCCGGTCAGTTGTGGGACGCCATGTCTCGTCAGCTGCCCGCCGCCTGGGCACGATGCAGACCGACAAGAAAGATGTGAATCAACTGCTAAACGCCCTATCCTGGACGTTCAGTAGCAATCTGTTCAGTTACCACACCGACTGTCCCCAAATTGAAAAGTTCGGCTGGCTGGAGGTCACGCATCTGCTGGCCCCAGCGACGCAGTACGTTCGCGATATGGAAGCTCTGTATACCAAGATCCTCGACGATATCCTGGACGCTCAAGAGCCTAGTGGGCTGGTTCCCACCATGGCGCCCGAGATCCGCTACATGTGCGGCCCGCTGCATGATACCATCACCTGGGGATGTGCCATATGTCTTCTGCCCGACATTCTGAGAGAGTACTACGGTTCAACACATGTCGTCGCCAAGGTGTTCCCCGCGGCAGTGCGATACATGGAATACATGCGCACCAAAGAGCGCCGAGGCGGTTTAATTGAACACGGACTTGGGGATTGGGGCCGCGGAATTGCCTTTGGCAATAATCAAGCTAATATCGAAACCGCGATATACTACCGGTGCCTACAATGCGTCGCAATGATGGCTCGTGAACTGGGAGAAAGGCGAAAGGCAGAAGAATTCGAACAGTGGGCCGCTCGGGTTTACGCCGCGTACAACCGTCACTTGCTCGTTACCGACGACACGTCTCGGCCGTACGCCTACTATACCTCACTAGACAACTACCCGACCCGGGACCGAGATGCAGTCGCCCAAGCCATGGCTTTGCAATTTGGACTGGTCCCTGAACAGTATCGCAAGGATGTGATGGCTGCCTTTTTGGATGATGTAGCAGATGGGCGCATCCGTGCCGGAGAGATAGGGCTGCGGTACATATTTAACACGCTGGCTGACGCAAAGCGACCGGATTTGGTGTTGCAGATGGCCCGTCAAGAGGAGCACCCGTCTTATATGCGATTTCTGCGGCGTGGAGAAACAACCCTGTTGGAATTCTGGCAAGATGAGTGCCGTAGCAAATGCCACGACATGCTAGGAACCATTTACGAATGGTTCTACGCAGCGGTCTTGGGTCTGAAGCCTATAGGACCGGCATATCGTACTTTCGTGGTAGACCCGCCTTACAATGCCGAGTTCGATCATGTCAAGGGTAGCGTGGACTGTCCCTACGGGACGATTACTATTGAGTTTAGACGCAACAAGCAGCATCAGGCCACCGTGAATGTGCGTGTGCCATTTGGTACCACCGCGATTGTTAAGCTTCCCTGCAGCGGCAAGTCTACAACCTATTTCCGGGATGGAGAAGACAGTCGGCCAGTGAACGGAAAGGAAGTCACCCTAAGCCACGGCATGTACTCTATCATTGAATGCTAGTGATAATAAAAGCTGGAATTGATTTAGGCAGTGTGACCAACCGCCAAAATGGCCAGATCGTACGATAGATTGTTCGACGCGTGCTGTGTCGGTAGGATGATGACCGAGCCAGCTCATCGCACCATAGGCTGGAGACAAAAGTAGATAAATCTAAAGTGAAAAGCTCCGGAAAAGCCTACCAGTCCTGGACATAGGTGTGTAGCTGTTAACATGCTGGGACTCGGGATATCCGAGGTCCATCATTATTTGTCTGTGGCCTTAGCTGGCGGCTTAACCCGGTTCGAACTGGCGCGTCGCGGTTAGGGCTCACCACCCCGGATGGGCGAGAGGTTATTGTGCCTATTATGATGAATACGAGCTGGCCAGACTCAACTTCGGTATTGTTAGTCTTTGTTGTGTTTCCTTGGGGACATTTTCGGGTCAGAGCCTCCCGAAGCCATCTCCACGTTTACCCCAGGATCTGTGATTTCGGTTCGTTGCAGCGGCAATGATGACATGCTTTATCCTATACAACAACTCCGCCTTTTGTGCTGGAGTTGACCAGGGATACTGACTGAGTCACACACCAATGTAACGGACAGTAGCGTTATCCCTTGTATATAGCTCGACAGTGCAACCGACCTTTTATTCGGAAACTTGAACAACTTGAAGAGCGACCTTCCGACGTTCCGACCAATATGGCCAAGCTAACAACTTTACTGTCCGCTGTCTTTTTGGCCATTGGAGGTAGACACTCTTTTTTCCCATCGATTTTTTTGTTGCGCAGATAAACATATATTAATGGCTTTGGTCGAGGACAAATAGGCTTCCTTTTCGGATATGACAGTGGTATCATTACCTCGACGATCGGCCAAACCGAGTTTATCAGATACTTTAACAACCCAAATGATACGGTGACGGGAGGTATCGTATCTGCCTTTCAAGGCGGTGCAATCCTAGGAACCATCATTAACATCTTCACCGGCGATAGATTGGGACGCAAAATGTCCGTCTTTGCCGGTGCCTGCATCTCTATTGTAGGCTGTGCCCTGCAGGGCGGCGCGATCAACATGACCATGCTCATCATAGGTCGGTTCATTGCGGGTGTAGCCGTGGGAATGCTGACCGCCACCGTTCCCATGTACGCCGGCGAGATGGCCGAAGCCGCATCCCGCGGAATGATGTCAGGTCTGCTGCAGTGGATGTTAAGTTGGGGATCTCTCGTTGCGCAGTGGCTGGGGTACGGGTGTTCGTTCAACAATACTGATTTCCAATGTATATTTAATCCAGATCTCGGACTGTCCGTGCGGCATTTGTACCAAAGAGTCTGACTTACGTTCACAGGGCGCTTCCCACTTGCATTTCAATGCGTCCCTGGCCTCGTTCTCATGGCCGGTGTTTGGTTTCTCCAGGAATCACCTCGCTGGCTGATGGAACAAGACCGCCACGAAGAGGCATTAGCCACACTGCACCGTCTGCATGGTGATGGCACCCCTGAAAAGTCGCAGTACATCGAGCTCGAGTATCAGGAGATCCGGGACACCATTGAGGCAGAGCGTGCACAGAACACCATTACTTGGACTTCCATCCTCACCAAGCCCTCCTGGCGCCGCCGCCTCATTCTCGGCTGCAGTGTGCAGGCCTTTGGTCCATTGTCAGGGATCAATGTCATCAACTATTACGGAACGCGTATCTACAGCTCACTGGGTATCGAAACGCGCACAACGCTGATGATCATCGGTATCTCCGGCGGTCTATCGATCGTCTATTGCACCATCGGACTCTGGGCCCTGGAGCGGGTGGGTCGAGTCCGACCCCTGATCATTTCAGCAGCGGGTATGGCAGCAGCATTGGTGTGCAATGCGGCCATGTCCCAGCATTATACCGAGACGAACACCAATCAGCTACGTGCAATGGTCGCAATGAACTTTGTCTTCAGCCTGTTTTACACATCCCCTGGTATCATCTCCTGGGTCTACCCTGCGGAGATCTTCCCTGTGGATATCCGTAACCAAGGCAATTCCATTACCACGTTCACAAATTGGACCGTCAATCTGGTGTTCGCGCAATTTTCACCTACGGCACTATCCAACATTGGCTTCCGTTACTTCTACGTCTTCTTCGTGTTCAACCTAATTGCCATGGTCTGCTATATATTTTTCTTTCCAGAGACCAGGGGTAAGACCCTCGAACAGATGGACGAGCTTTTCGGGGACGTGATGGTGTTTCCTGTGGACGTGAAAGGAAAAGAAGAGCCCCAAGTAACAATGGTTGAAGATGCTGCAAATGGGTCATCCTGAGGCATAATTCTTGCTTTCCTTCTTGAGTGTCAGAACTCGTGGTATCACCCATGTCTTCGTTAGGCCTTTAATGATAACGTGATGTGCTTGGCGATCCGCAGCTTGTTGTGGCTACTGATATCTTTATAGCCCCTCTGTTGGTTTCACCAGCAAGGGGTAATTATAGTAAGTCCGGTTCATATAGAACTCCTCCATAGGGGATCCTACGCTATCTCCGTAATTTACTGGCAGATCCTTGGTATTCAAGCTGAACATATTCAGTAAACTGATCCCTAAAAGCAAGGTCTTTCTCTTAGTCTACGTAAGAAAATACCCGCATTCTCTTCTTCACGCAATTTCTTTTGCCATCTCACTATAGTGACATGGATTACGAATAGATTTCAGTAAATCCATGTATCGAGGTCAGCGAGACATCCAAGCAAGTCCAATATGAGGCTCTCGGGGAATCTATGCGCTTCCGCTTGGGTGAGATTCCGGTAAGGTTTAGTGAGAGACTAACAAAATGAGTCTGTATCATCCTTTACCAGGCAAAATAAAAGAACGGAAAATAAAGGACGGTGGGGAGGGCAGCACGATACCGCAGGATAAGCAAGCGACAGGCTATTCACGAGTGAATTCACCATCGTATGACAGAAATTCAACTCGCTATCACGAGTCTAGATGTTGCCTGGCTAAACAAATGTCTCACATAATATGCCATGGTGCAGGGACGGGAACGCGGTCTCTAAATAATAATTTGGGCATGTCCTGGGTGGCAGCCTGATAAGGCAGCGTTGGGATCAATCCCTGTAAAAGGGCATGTATGGGGACTACGCGGTAATGGGAATCAAATGGGGTCTATGAGCTAGAGTCGTCCAGTCTGAAGCGCGCAATAACGTCAGAACGCAAATAGATGCTTTTATAGGGGCTTTTAGGCAGAGCCTTCCTACAATTGAAGTAGGCTTGGGTTCTATGGGTTGGAAGACTTGGTGCCAGGAGTGAAGGACCACCTACGTAGCTGCCACACCTACTAGGCGGTTTCATTAGGTTATATGAACACTGAATTACTACATCTATTCGAGGAGAAGATCGGGACTTTTCAACCCCTCGACCCTCAAAAGGTCCATGATCTGTTCGCTTATCTGGTCCCTGATTTCAAGCGAAAATGAGGATCTGAGTAAGTGTATATTAGGTGTTGAGATGTGGACCTTTCGGGTTCGCGTTTCTGAGATAGCGCCTATTCATGTTTGATTTTTGTTCTCATGTGACAAGTCCCACACTTCCTGAAGACTGGCTGTTGTGCATCCCTCATCCAGGATTTTCGTTTTCCAGGTCTCCTTTGACAGGGCATCACCGAGAAACAAACAAAGGTCCATGCCCTCACCAAGACCACAATCCATTCCATTATACGGACATTCACACGCTCCGGGGCGGACGGGGTCATGGAAAAAGATGGTCGGAGGATTGTGCCAGTGCTAAAGAAATTTGCGACGACGTAGTCCCCGCACCAGTCATTATTAGGGTGCGCTACCCCCAATTTGTCACCAGCGTTAGGTACAGACTCAGAAATGCAGTTTTGGAAGTGATTGTTCGGGGAGGCAGCGGCTTCTATCCGCAATGCATGGCTCGCATGTTTGGTCAGCCACCACAGCTTAGGGTTTTTGAGGTTGGAATCGGCCTTGCTAAAATCGTGTGCGAATTGTTCCCTGCAAAGCTCGGGTGCAGTGCGCAGCAAATCATCCCACGTATGTGTATAACCTGCAACTATGCAAGCTCATAAACATTCTTCAAACATATCTGGTCTCATGTGAGCAAGCCTCTCATAGATCGTCATGTCCAAGGTATTAGGGTACCAAATGAGCTCCGGCAAGAACGTTCCGGGAGTATCCGCAGAGAGCCAGGATAAATCATTGGACATGATGCGGCGGGCATTGATTGCGCGCCTAATATTGATCTCATGTCTATCTCGGGGGTGCTCCGGAATCTGTGTGCTCCACCATTTGGCGAAGAGGGATAATGATAAATACCGCGCATCACCATAGCCCATCCTTCTTTGAGCATGTATGGTCGTCGAAGTTGTGCATAACGATCGATTTCTCCATTGTATGCGGCAACATAAATGAGCTTGTCTTTATTAATGAAGGGGTGGTCTGTAGGCAGAGGATTGAACAGCAGTGAGATATAGTCATCTGGAACCTCTGGGGCCTTTCTGTTATGGTCATCTATGCAATTTTCCTGTATCTTAGGTAAAAATCAACAGCAAGCACTGGGAGAGAGACTGTTCTTCCTAAAATTGACTCAACCAAAGCATCCTCACCGTGCTCAGTCCGAGTAGATCTTCCTCTCTATGCCCCTTTCTCTTGTCTCTGCATTTGTCCCTTCATCTTGGGAGCTAAACACGCTGTACACTAGCCGCCCGTTTCAAGCCGAACAACCGGTAATATTGGCCTTTGCTTCTGTCGCTGCCTGGTTTTTCAACATATGTGCCTTTTCCTTCCGTTGCCAAGAGCTTGCGAAATTCTTTAGTTTCATGGGGTTCCTGCCAGCTGCCTTCTCTGCGGCGTTGACCGAATTTCGGGCAGCTGGAAGGTCGCATGTAATCCATCCTGCAACTGCTCCATCAGGCATTGCCATTGTTTCCTTGACCAGTCCTTCCTCAACTAGGAGGGCCTTCTTCACAATATCGCCATTCGCATCCTTTGGCTGCCTGTCCCAAACCGCCCTATCGTACTGCATCCGAATGTCGGCTCCTATCTCCCGGCAGGCGTTGGCCTTTCGGCCAAATTCAACTCGGCTTCGAGCTTTTTCGGCCTGGTCGAATAAGGCTTGGCTCGCGTTGCTATTACCCTCCTCCAACCAGCCCTTCTGCTCAATAAACCTGCTTCTGGCATCAGTACTTCAGATTTCAAGTAGATATTTGGTCTGAAGAAGGCATGCAGGATGCAAGGGAGATGAGTAATCTAGAGTGCTACTTGGCCTTCGCAGTCAGTGATTTCAAGGACGTCATATCTGCTCGGCTCCCAAATATTACGATGTTTGAGGAACAATCCGCCGGCATTACAACACTGGCAAGCAACGACCTGTACCTCGGCGACACGATTGACGTGGTGGACAGGCATCACTTCTAGTGCTCAAGGTCTCAAACTCCATCGCAAGCATGAAGAGTGTCGAAAGTATCGGCGAAGAATTTCACAAGGAAATGGTCGAGGAGGCTATTCTACTCTTCGTCACTGCTTTTCTCCTCCTTATCCCTGGACTCGGCGAGATTGCCGATTCCGTAGAACCTCTGTTGCTGCCGCACTCAGAGCTATCGGCGGAGCCGGTAATGCGGGATTTGGAATCTATAGCGTCGTGAGTGTCAAGGATGCGGGAGCCGGTGAAATTTTCCTTGCTCTTCTAGGTGGCTTGGGGATACTTGATATGCTTAAAGCGCCATCCCTTTTTGCAATGGCCGCCAAAGCGAGAAGGGCAATGGATGCGGGGGATATTGCAAAGCTGGGAGAAGAAGTTATAGGGGGGATGGCTCAGATTGACCACAAGTTGAAGCAGCTTTGCCGTTAGAAAGGTTAGGGAGAGGTCATCAATCAATAACGGTAACATGTGAGCCTTGTGCTTTCATCCACGCATATTTCTGTTGTTGATTGACGTTAATGATCTCGGACGACAGTACGTAAGTGAGCCTCACAATGCTGGTTTTGATCTGCCATGCTATAGCCGGTTGGCTGAAGCTAGCATTCAGGGCACTAGAGATGACGAACTAGAAACATGACGTGATCGTTTATCCAATGTCGAATGTGTTCGCAGTAGATGGCGTCAGTTTCCTTTTGGTCATAGTATATCTCCCAGGTGAATAATATAGGGAAGGGTTTACTTTCCTCAAACCTAGTCCATATCATTACGCCAATCAGAACGATTTCGGGTAATCAAAACAGCGCGATAATGGTCCGCTATGCGAGACTCACCCTACTAAGATTGTCAACGTGATGGCACCTGTGGAATGGTGGTTTCCTTTGATAGCTTGGTCCGGTGGGATCGTCTACCCATGGGACCTGGTGTTGTCTAACGAAGTCAAATACCGACGAACCAGTGCTCGCCCCTGCAGATCTATGAGGTCCGTAGAAGCGTTGTACATGTGTCGTAGGTCTTCTGGAGGTATATTTCCTCGGGAGACCTGAACCAGGTACAGATGTTTCTTGGAAGTCCTAGGCAGTATCTAGGACTGGTGCTCTGCACGTATGATGGGGTCCGACATGAGATAACAATGCTGGGTCAACCTGAACTGGTGCGGACTCCATGGTCTGCATGGACTGGACATGCCTTACAAAATTCTCTATCCAGAGTTCACTACCATGAAGTCCTGGATAATACGGTCTCTTGAGGGCACCATTCTGGGAAAACCAGTTAGTAGCGCCAGCAGCGCGAACTCAACACAAAGAGTGATCATTTACCAGTTCACACTCAGCCCCTACCTCATACCCAATGCCTGCCTGACGGAGAAAGGCCAGCAACGCCCAGGGGCCAGCTATATAGCTTATCGGGATGAAGGTTGAACCGCTGTAGTGTCCAAACACGATGAACTTGTCACTTTTGATATTAATGAGCTCAGTGGTTGTTGCTATATTAAAAGCGTCAAAATCTCCATGCGCACCCATTAAGCACGTCAGCCCTGCTATATTTGAATATCCAATAATTGTGGTCCATGGCACGTCCCCTCCGAACTTTCATGCTCTCTGTTCTGTAGATTCGTGTAGATGTCGGGTTCCTTCTTTGTATAACTAACATGAATGCACCATGTACAAATATATATATAGATAGGCAACTCCGGTGAATGAAACACCAACAAAGGCAAAAGTCCATCATCACCTGCAGCTACCTACAGAATACCCAGGACACATCTAGGAGGAGGTAGTTTGACTACGGGTGTCGATACATGCGCCGCAAAGTCCTTCCTGAGATAGTCCCTGCTGCAAATACTAGAGACGCCACTCTGCAGCCGGTCTGCAGTAGTTCACCTTGTTAGATAACCGACCTCCCCATAATCGGGAGGAATAGAAAGACTGACAAGATGAAGGGCTTACGTATAGATAGCTGAGGTTCTTATATCTCATCTACGCTGCGTTTTCCTACCCAGCGGTGGTAACCCGGACGAGTCCGGCTCCTCTACTAGGGGTGGCTGCAACTGACACACTTACATTTTTCCCGGAACGGTCTATTATGTAATATCCGAGTTCTTGGCCGATTGGGCTACCCGATAGATCCCGTGACCTGCGCCCTCTGCGATGCCATGCAACCTTTAGGATTAACCGCACTTGTAAGATCCTAGGCTACTAAAATAGGGTTGGGGGCGAAGCAAGGCACTAAAAAAGCTCATGGTATTTTGGCACTGCTTTTCCCTGAGTAGTAGCTATTCTGTACACGTCTGCTTATGGGAAGCGGTGTTGCCTGCGAGTAGAGATAAAATGCATTACTGCTTCCGCTTGATCACGATCCGGTCGAGTAATTGGGCTTTCGCCCATGTTCCATGGCTGGACCCAACGTTCTGGAGGTGGATTTGGGCGGATAGAGCTTTGTGTTTTGACACACCTCTAGCATTCTGGGTAATCTCATGAGCCAACTCGAGTGCATGATTGCCAGAATTTGTAACTTGAAAATACCACTGGCGGCTGGTTTTATGCTTTAACAATGATTTCTGTGTTTTGCCGGGCTTAGGTGAGTATTCGAATACATACAGATTGCTTACGGGCTTCACCCGAGGATTTTGCTCCCTTTAGTCCCACATTTTAGGTCAGGGATTTTACAGTTCATTTTAGTGGTATTATTGATTGTACTCAACATCCCAAGCTCTCTTCACCGTGATACCCTCCTCAGGAGGTTGTCCCTTCTTGAGAGTTGGCAATGGAATTGCGACCGTCGTTTTAGCTTGCGATTGATTCAATGCCGAGTAACGGTGTGGTCCTTCCTCCGTATGACTATCCAGAGCTGAAAAGGGCTGTGTGTCTTCATTGTCGTAGGAGCTCGATTTCAGTATCTTTGTGGCCCACGAAGAAGCCTGAACACGTTTTTGTGGCATAGCCCAAGAGGACGGGTCAGTCGATTGGTTGGTAGCTTGGGTACCAAAGAGGCTTCGTCGAACTGCGAGCCATACAGGACGCAAAGTTGGGAGGCAAGCTTTGATGCAGTCAATATCTGGAGTCATCACGCTCAATAAGGGGATCATCTTACTTACCCGAGACAATTGCCAGGTCAGCCTCGATATTGGCCCATATGGCTTGATTGACCCAGTTCCAACTGAGGTCCGCATCAGTACCTTGGTTCATCACTGAAACAAGTCGCATTATTGAGGCGATGCACACACTGTCCGGTCAGCTGATTATTGGCACCATTCAGAATGTAAGGTCCACATACAAACTGCCCAAAAGAAACATTGACATGATAGCCTTCTTATGGCTTCTCGAGGTGTTGAGCTTCATGATATAAGGCACAGGAAGTACGAGAAGCGTAACATCGATTATGATGTTTGGAATTGAGATCGCAAACAGGAATTTCTGGCTGTCAACATTGCAGGAGGCATCAATTGATTGGTCCCATAATCCTCGAGTAGGTATACATTGCAGCAAGGTGAGCAAAAACTGTAATTGTGAGTCATAATGGACTCCTCATGGGCAGAGTTACAATACTCACCACAGCAATACCCCACATGCAAACCAGTGTGGCGAGTAGGCTAATGGGAATTTTTATATTGGCCCTGTTGAATAGACGCCAGTACAAGGCCAGAATAGAAAACTTGACAAGAACAATGACGCCCGTGTAAGTGAGTTCACAGGAAAATAGTCCAATATATGCGTCCTTCGTAGCGTTTGGTCCGAAGGTTTGAATATGCCTTCCCAGAGCACGAGGTATCCCTACATCTGTTAACACCCAACACCTCCATGATACCAATCGGATCTTGTCTTACACCACAGTAATGAAGCTGTGAGGCCGGTGCCGCAAGCCTAATCAACTATATTAGAGACATCCTATCGGCAGCAGGGGTGTACAGTACGTACCAATGAGGCTAGTATCAGCCAGTCGTCAAGCCATAAGCCCGCAGTATTTTTCCAGCGACACCAGAATCGAAGGCTGACACAGAGAACGGCGATGAAGAAAGGTATTGTCGAAGAGGCATACAAATTAGGTTGCCGGGACTCGGAAAGGTCTGCAGAGGGCAGAGATTGAGACATGATAATTACAAGGGGTGTGAGTTTGTTATGTGCACACAGGTACTCCTGCAAGAACTCAAACCCTCCCCGTGGAGACGAAAGTGTAGACAGTGCATACCGTGAGAAAAATCCTTTACTACGTGTACTGAGTACTCGGACAATATAATATAAAGTTCAGTGAACAGACGGGTGGGCCACTGCTTGCCGTTTCCGCCCCTTCACATGTTGCAACTGGGGCTGGGGCCAAAGTATTGGAAAGGTACTTTTTAAATTAATAGCCGATGATAGCGAGTCGAAATATGGTGATAAGGATACGTGGTTGTTTGCCTCATCGAACCTCGGCTGGCACCGGTCTGTGGTTAACCCTTCACAGATTCAATAACTGGACAGGCCCGGGCACTGCTCATTGGTGGGCTTTTCCCCGGGAGACCGACTTCCTGGACATTACCACTATGTACCATTGCGCCTGCCTGCAATCTAACCATCAAGCAATGCACGTTCTGCAGAAAGACATTGCAGAGTGGGGAAGGGTGGATGCGTGGACGATCCGTGGGCTGTGTGCACCTGCTGCTTTCTGCCTCCCTGCATGATCCTACGTACCGTTGGGCCTTTTCCCCCTGTTGGTCTGGTTCAGCCCCTAGCCAATTCTCCATTCAGGAGAAATAGAGAATATTCATTGACTGGCTGTGCGTGCACGGGGTAATTGCTTGCTTTGGATCGCCGATGTACGTGCGTCTCATTTGACCCTCTCTGCAGTGGGTCTATTAGCCTTTTAGTATATATCCGCAACCTTGACGACCTCATAGTAGATATGTCAGAGAGACAAACAGGGTGGTGCGTATAAGTGCTGCAACCTGGGGCCAAAATTTTGGTATATTGTCTTCAATCCAAGGCGCTCTTCAAGGTTTCGGCCCGCTTCAACGGCAAAGATCCCCACCATCTGGCCAGGATAAATCAGTATGGCATGATCAGCGAAAGGCCTTCCCGATCTGCGAGCAGAGTTCCAATGTTTTACAATGTATTTCCGCCCCCAAAACAGCCAAGAATCATCTGCTACTAGCGTGCGGCAAACTGCAGCTCCACTCTTTTTTCCCACAACCAGTGTCTCCTATTTCGAGACGAGTTATTCTTTCCTTCCGCTGCCTGTAGATCGAACCACTATATTCCACGGTTCCGAGGTCTAAGTACTTTTCTAGTGATTGATCCCCACCCAATAGGGATAAACCAATCGAGAACCCAATTTTTTTTATCTTGCATTTTGTTATATTTTATTCATTTTTTTTTCTCGCGCTGGATCAATTTCCCAGCGTCAATCAGCAGACTAAATTTATTCGCCCCCACGTTCTGCCGTGGACACCGGAGTTAAACCATTACTGTATCTGGGTAAAGCCTTGTTGGCTCCACCCCTGTCAGTGTGAGGCCACTGAGGCGAGGCGAGGGGCTCTTCTGACCTACTGAGATAAGCATAGTGTATGCAACTACCACTTAGGCCCCACCAGCAGGTACAAGTGCTAACTGCTAGACTAATACACGGATTATTCCTTACATGTATTGACTATTTCGTACCTACTTTGGTACTACGTAGATATGCGCCTGTCATAATTTGCGGGTGGGGTACAGCACCTCCTCCGTTGGACGAGCGTGCTCAGCCTAGGCCAACTAGGCTTACTCTCGTAGTTGGCGGTTGCAACCTGATGTGCGGCTGATTCCAGAGGGCAGGGGGGAATTTAATGCATTTGGCGAAGTTAGTTATCCTCAGTCCATGACAAATACATACCTCTAAATCTGCTACTCCACCTTCTTTACCTTACTACTCCTGGCAGCAGTCCGGGCTTCCTTTTTTAATTTCTTCTCTTCCCTTCCATAATACTCAACATAACGAAGTCGCAACCCGTTCCCAACCCGGAATCCCACCCAATATGTCGTCGGCAAACCTCCCGATCATTGTCATTGTTCCAGGTGCATTTGGCACACCTGAAGGCTTCGATAAACTGCTACCGTATCTGACCGAAGCTGGATACACCACACATCCAGGGTCATACCCCAGTTGCAACCCCTCCGATCCGACCCAAGTGTCCTCTTCCCAGGATATCGCGCACCTGCGTAACAATGTACTCCTCCCTCTTTTGAATCAGAATGGAAGAGATGTTGTCATCATCGCACACTCATACGGGGGTGTTGTTGCCGGTGGCGCAGCAAAAGAACTTGCAAAGGAAACCAGAGTAGCCCAAGGTCAATCGACTGGCGTTGTTGGCCTTATTTACGTGGTGGGCAATATCACGCTTGAGGGGGAATCCCTCTTCCAGGCGGTAGGCGGCGCTTACCCTCCTTTCATCAAAGTCGATAAGGTATGGTGTAACCTGCATAACTGCTGTCATAACGATCGAGTATTAATGATTTTGTTCCTAGCCATCCCAGGGCCTTGCTGTCATCGAACCGGCAATGGACGTGCTGTACAATGACTGCGACCGTGCCCTGCAGCCGGAATTAGATACGCTAATGCAGCCACATGCACTCCGCGCTTTTGAAACTCCCGCCACCGCCCCGGCCTGGGCGGAGAGTGCATTCGATGGTAGAAGGGCGTATGTACGTACCCTGGATGACTGTTGCAACCCTGCATTGTTGCAGGACATATGGCTGGAGAAGTCCAAGGTTGAATGGGAAGTTGTGGATTTTAAGACCGGCCACATGCCATTCGTGAGCCAACCTCAGGCGCTGGCAGAACAAATTACCAATTTTATCGATGGTTTTATTGCGAAGTAGATAGATCAATACGGAGTCCAAAGCATGGTGTAGAACTCCCAATACACACCATTCGATTTGGCTTGATTTATCTATCATTAGCCACTGACATCATCGCAATGTAATACAGGCTGGTCAACCCCAAAGGTCTATTGGCAACAATAGCGGTGGTGGTGACAGTAGTGACATTGCGGTATAAGGTCAAATGTCTCGGGACACTCAGTTACCGGAAATTCTAACAGTGCTAGCTCGCAGAAGATTTAAGCTACTGATACATGATATCTAAATATATATAGACCGATGATATATTCTTTGTCCATCTCTATTCAGACAGTAGTTGCCCTTCGATTGTTGCCAAGGCTGAGATCTCAGACTTTAAATGTCAAGAATTACATTTCTTGAAATATAATGTTATACATCACTTAATCCCGAATACCCGTCATATATATTGTTTCATATGGAAAGTAGACGTACTTGATGAGTCAGTCTCAAACATTAGATACGAGGATTTTTGGACGACGGTCCAGTTACATTATGTATTTTGAATGCAACTGTTCTGAAGAAAGCTTATCTCATGATGGTACCTATATAACCACATGCAAAGAGAATGAAAACTGGTGTGAATAAGGCGATGGTCCTGAGACATTCGGAACCCAGCATCGTAGTATTTAGGCATAGACCCCTTTAGAGCAAGCTTCCAGCCTTTAATACATGCTATTAAGCGTTTAACATATCATGAAGAAAAAAGACAAGTGAGTGTGCCATAGCAGGCGAGAGAATTGGTAATGTAATATTCTAGCATCCTAGCGTACACAATTCGTATAACGGGTATAGACATTCAGCACATCAACACCACCTAGTGCTCTATGGTATCAACCTTCTTCGTCACCCAGACCAGCTTTGGGACCATTATAGAAGCGCCATTCAAGGTCTCCATCATAGCGTTGTGCTCCAGACTTTTCGATGCCTCCGGGGTCTTAAGTGCGTTTTCTGCAAACTCTTTCCATGTGCTCACATATCTGTATGAATGTTAGGTATTGTCATAGAAGACTTAGTTTTGTTCTCGGTTATAGCTTACACATCATTCCAGAACCGAGCATTTCCAAGTCCGTACTCATAAGTATACAGCATTGAGCCAGTATATCCATTTTCATCCATAATTCGCGTCAGGTCATATTTCCAGCTGCGTAAGAGGTTAGTTCGCATCAGATCTTCCAACTATCTCTTTTCGGTACACTTACGTGTCATGGCCTTTAAGCTGAGAGAAGAGTTCATCAAGATTAGATGCTGAAGTCCCAGGCACGGTTTTGATAGAGCACCCAATGGTGTCAACTTCATCCCACTGAAGGTAGCCGCCGGGTTCTGAACCCGTAGATTGTCAGCCTAGCCATGAAAATGGAAATGAAGCACATACTCAGCAGTTTCTTCAAGTTTGCTAGAATCGGCCTGGGGTCGTTATTCTTGACAACGACAGTAATCAGACGAACATGTACAACATCAAAGTAGCCTATGAACTCATCCGGCACTTCTTCAAAAACGTTCCAGACATGCATGTGTATATTTGCGGGTAGCCATGGCTTAGGGCCAACTTGGTCCAGGCTAATATCGAAGCCATGGAGATCAACGGACGGTGGTTTTCCACGAGCAAAATCCTGAAGCCAGATACTGAAACAATTAGTTATGAGAACTTCGAAGCTTGGTAGATCAATTTACCCGTTGCCAGTAGCAATATCAGCGACTTTCAAGTCCGCAGCCCGAGTATCAATATCGGGATGAACCAGGAACCCAAGTAACTCTTTCCAAAGGTAATGCTGTGCAGTAAGTCTAGTTTACTATTAGGAAAATACCTATTGAAATTGTCTTCTCTAGACTAACCGAGTGTTTGCGTTACAATCACGCATCAATGCATAAGGATCCTTAGCCTTCACAGTTGTCCCGTTCCAGCTTTCAACTGTTGGTAGCTGGGGTGCATTGTCATTCTTTGGGATCCTCATTATGGAAATCTGATCGGTGTATAATAAAACAATTGTAATGATCTGGTTGTAGTCCGAGTGATGGATTTCAGAGGAAACCAGCTGGTCCAGCAGCCAGCCTTTATAATAAAATGAGAATGCTGTGATGTAGAAAAAGTACTTTTCAGTAACTTCTGGCATAATACAGATGCCTACTAGCGCGCAAACTGCACACTAACTGTATCATAGAATGACTATCATATTTACATACAAGAAACACCAAGTGAAGCCTGACATCCACGAAGGCAAGGCAGATTCAGGATACTGTGGAGCTTTGAACGTCCAAAAATGTGCTAAAATGCCTGTTCCAGGTATCAATACATTTTAAGCATATACAAGAATGCGGACGGTACAGTGTTCCGTGCATGCTGTGGCCATTTGTAGATCTTTTTCCCCCAGCACAGCGGGGCAATTATGGAGCACACTTCTTAGCAACGGAACGATATGATTCGACCCCAATCCTTGTTATGGACAGTTACAAAATGGACCCCACTCCGAGGTTGGCTGCTTGCCACCCTGCTTATTATGGAGCGTTATAAATGGCCCCGATGGTTGGTTAGTTTGCCTGTTTGGCCCCCTCTTTGTCATAGGACGGCATAAATGGCCCCAACGGTTGAGTCGGCACCTCGGGCCCACCGGAAAAACTATGCCAACGCTTCATTGTTTAGTGAGGTAATTTCTTCATTATATCCAAACAGAACCACCGGCTTCAGGGGCAGTTGTAATAGCTGTATATGTAATGACTGATATTTTTCTAGCGATGATGGCTGGCTTTCCTGGTGGACCTAGCCAAGGGACTTCCACCGTCACCCCCGGAATGCCCGGCAATGACTTAAAGGAGCACCGAAACCACGAGCCACTGAGCAAAGACGGTCTTATACCATGATTGGTTGGTAAAGATTGTCAGAATCATTAGTGGGCCTTAAGAGGTCTTTTCGTCTATTCCGACTTTCGGAAAAACATTGTATGATGACGGTGAACAGAATCGCTGATACACATGTAATACATTCACCACAGGTGGGCCGATACATCCCTCTAAAGATCCTTTCGCTTGAGTATCAGACAGGTATTGGCCTGGTGACACTGGCTCCTCCCGGGTGGGAGGGAGACACACTTCATTCAGTGAATTGAAGGATTGGTGAGTCGAACAGGATCTGGGTGCACCGCAGACAGTAGGATCTTAAAGCAAGCTAAGTTCTCCAAAATATAATTTACCTTATTCACAAGAGCACCTATGGACGGCATGGCGCGAGGAGATACACTATCTTTAAATTGAGAATGGTAAATATACGCTTATAAGATCAAAGGGGTAGTTGGTATTAAATAAGCTGTCTGATAATAGACAAAAACACCTTGTGGGTTTTATTTCAGTGTGCCTATGGGTTATTTCCTACCTCTATTCCGCTGCCGAACTCTATTATAACATATAATTTGCTTTCCTACTCTAGGTGAGGATTGCCCATCACTGATCGTGGTCTCCATAATGCCTGACTTTGGCCACAGTAGTGTTATAGCGTAGGTGAGCTTATTAACTAGTCACTGCATGATTGCACACGACCATGCCAGAGCACAAGTGAGAACATCTGATGATTATTTCGCGGAAGCTATATATCCTCACAAAATGGATAGGGGGAGCCAGGTAGGCTTTTTATAGCTTATATATGGCGTACACACCATCTGCAAGTAGTCCGTTGTGGCAAACCCTCTCTCCTACTTCATGTATCTTGGGTGAAGTCTATTCCTGCTAGATCTTACAGAATTCTCATTACTCTCAATGACATAGCAAACGGGAGGTATTAGTTTTAAGATACCCGGAATTCTTTCCGGTACATATGAGAGAATAGCAGTATGTGATTCTTTCCACCGGTCTGATAACTTATGTAAAATTATTAAAAAATCTTCCGGCGACTATAATTACGAATTACTTGGAGAGCCATATATTCAGCTCTCTTGTAATGGGATCTATATTGTATGTAATAAGTGAATTTAAAGTGATGATATGGTCGAAAAGTAAGTCACGGCGTGGACTCCCAAATTATTGATCCTGAATACATGTCTATAATAGATGTTAACGGATATATCATGCTCACAAATAGATTTGAGCCCACCGCAAGCTCTGATTATTAAAATTCATTTTACGACGTTCCTAAGCAACGGGCGAATACCCATTGCTCACTCGCGCGATTTCCAGAGACATTCAAATTAGCTACGGATTATTTTCAGTTGCTAGCGCCTGACGCCGTGAGGTGAAGGCGGGATCATGATATGGAATCTTGCCCAGCGAAACAATACGGTTCCCCTGACGTTTACCCGTATAATCGCTGTTCTCATTAGTCCCTGCTTCCTAAAATGTCTAACAGCATCACTCACTATGTGGTGGTATGAAATACCGACCAACTATATTGTCTTTGGTTAGACTCTGTGTTCATATATAATGGCGGGAACATGCACTTACTTGTCCTAGATAGCTATGTCATTGACACCTCATTTGAATCTTGAAGGTCATGATTTTCACTAATTAGTTGATGAACTGTAGTTGGTAAGATCAAGTCCCGTTACTCAAGTCTTACTAGCGGAGGATACTCTTACAGTACTGTTTTAGAAACTGACATTCGCGCTTGCTGACTCCTTCAATCCAGCCATGCTCTACTTGACCAGCTGCACCGAAAAGGCTCTTCCAGCCAGTGACTGGGTTTGTACGAACCACAGGACTAAAAAATTAGCATTTATCACACTCCAGCAATTCAACACATACTGACGGGCCTTAAAGTCAAGGCTTGTATTCTCTGGAGCGCCGCGGTCTCCTGCCAAGTGTTCAATACCATGCTCCTCGGCAGTATTTGCGTAATGTGGCTGCGATGCGTCAGATGTACCCAGTGATAGATATGATCTCCATTTAAGTCATACGTGGTAATGGACAGCTGTCAAGCCGTCGGCAAGCCTTTGCATAGGAGGTGAAAGCCAGTCGTATACCTCATACCCAGATGCCCAGAGTGTATCACCACCTACCACATCCTCCGGGACATGCGTAATGTTGAGAATGCAATAGTCTCTGGTAACCCTCTCAAATGTGGTGCTGTAATTTCCAGTGCTAGGAATGTGCCATATGTTTGGGTTGTACCTACGCACTCAGCATGCCAGCCTTCACTAGCCAAACGATCCTCAAATCGAAAATTGTAATACCTGCGACTGACCTGCAGGATTGTCAGTTTCAGCGTTATCTGGCAGGAATATAGTATATTTCAGAGGAGATAACGGTTATCTCATTATCTAGCTTTCCATGCTCATTGACGGCAATATTTCCACCATTACTGTAGATTAATATTTAAATTTATAAGAGTTTTTAATTAGAACCAGAATCATATCAACTTTAATAAGTTTTCAATATTATATATATATATATATGATATTACGACTTATAGAGCGTCTGATACTTCGGGATTTTATAATTATTATTATATTAATGTGATAGAATAACCTAGCTATCGGGAGTAAAGTCATCGGGATGACGCATTATAGTGGTTATGGGAGTTGTGAGGTCATTGATAGCGGTTCTACTCATCCCCGTCACCTATAAGGTGCCGATACCTTTGCAGGAGACTACTGATCCCTCAAGGATCAGTCTATTTTGTGGATATAAACCACCTTTGTCATTATTAAATAAATCTATAGTGTTTAGTGGTTGATTCCTTACCTAGTCGACAGGCCTTCTACCCTGACAAGTAGATCCTATCACAAATAGTACTGTTTTTGTAATTACTGCTATTAGTATAAAATAAATTATTTTAAAACTTTTATAAAAAAGGCACCACGTCTTATTCAGAATTATTTCTTATAATGAAATATTAGTTATATTTGTCATAGAATATTTATAAAAAATCTAAAATAGGAAATTAGATATCAAAATAATAGAGATAATAATAGGGTCAAGGGACAATAGTCCTAATCAGGAACTAGATGTCAAAATAATAAAGATAAAGTAATGGATTGAGGTAAATACAATTGACAAAGTTGTTAAATGGAAGCAATCTTGCTTGCTTGCTTATTTGCTTACTTGGAAGGCTTGCTTTGAACATTTTCAGACAGTGAGTGAAAGGCTCTATTTATATTTGATTCACTGCTTGCAGTGAATGAATCATTGACTAGAGTCATGAATCATTAATTTTGATCAGAAGACAAAAAGGTGGGGTAAAAAGTATGATAAAAGCAGGGTAATTTATAGTGAATATAAAAGACGGGGCGAGAGAGCAGGGTAATTGGCAGTAATAGAGATTAATTAATTACAATAATGTAAGAAATATAAGAATTCATATGTAAAAGGATCAGAATCATGATTTTTATTAAAGTAAGTCCAATCTGCTCTGCTTGGGTTAGAAATTCAATGTCATTTTATATGGAGCACATGACTGATCTGGGCTTTTTATGAAAGAGATTATTCTTTGATAATCATATCAAAGTTTGATTAGTAAGGAAAGATGAATTCCAGCCGACAAAAGATAATAATGAATATTTAATACTAATTATCATACTATAGTAATTATAACGAAGAATATTATAACCGTCTTAAATATCTAGATAAAATAAATATCTAGTTTCTTTATATATATCTTAATTGTTTCGTACTGAATTGCTTCTAACTAAATGATTCTTTGTATCTTTAGTAGGCAGAGCAGTAAATTATTTGAAGTATTAGGGACTGCCGTGCTGGCTCATTGTTGCGCCACTTCGTTGTCCGATTACGTAATAACCCAAGCTCAGGCTAGGCCGAGCTGCCACGGTCCTTTCCCTCCGGTCGGACCAGGAATTGGGGCCAAAGACAGCGTGACCTGTTGTCAATGCTATAGACATGTTTTCCGTGTCTGGCAGATTAGAAGCCGAAAGTCCATATCTCATATGAGTATACTTGGTACACAAGGTTCTACACCGCATTCGCCTTTTTGCTCTCCGACCAGGTAAAAGCCTCTTCCCTCAGCGCAGACTTAGCGCAGTAAGTCGTGATAACTGCCCAGGTACCAGCCCAAATCCATGGAATGGTCCATCCTATCAAACACAGTGTGGTCAGTGTTCACCCACTTAACGAGAGAGCAATAGACATATAGGCAATGAAAAGAACTAATCATGAACTTACCCAGCCCAAAAGCAAACGTCTTGCTCCCAACCGAAGCAAGTACACATATGAGAATAATGCCCATAATAAGCCCGCCAAATCCCCAAAACCAATTGAGATCCTCCATCAGGCGCTGAAACCGTTTGCTGGCAGCATACCTCTCCATCAGGGCTGAGCGGTATGCGGTGCCGCGGCCTCCATCCACCGCAACGATATCTTCGATGATGACCAAGATGCCGGGACGGAAGACTGAACCTGCGGGCATGGAGGAGACTGGGAACGGTTGCCGTACGCGAAGCTTTGCCAGGATTCCGACGATGACCAGGGTTAGGCCAACTTGCACGAGCAAAATAGACGGCGGCAGAGCGGTCATTCGGACACTAGGAGGGTCTCGTGTCAAGCCGATCACGATGATGAGTGTGACGAGCACAAAGCCTAGAAGATAGTTCCAGTGGAAGAAGTCTAACTTTATATTGGAAGAAGACACATGTTAGCACAAACCTTGTTATTTCATCCAAAGGAGGAAAATAAAAAACACGAAGTGACTAAGATCAAATGATTCAAGTAAACCAGTAGAGAGAGGGAGAGCATACATTCCAACGACTTTCCGATGTGAGGGGTCGGCAATTCGATGTCAGCTTGAGTAAGCGCCACGTTCGTAAACCCAAGGAATATAAAGTCGATGCTCCGAGAATGGCGCTAGATACACTCAAGGCTGATAGTTCGATCGTGTTAGTCTTATCTGACCAAATATAGGCCGGACCGGCTTGAAGTCCGAGATGGGGTACGAACCAATCTTGAGGGATAGACCCGCTCCCCAGTATAAACTTGGATAGAGCACCAGTGGTGCTATGCAGGACGTGAGTAGAATAATCCCCCACTGCAAGCATATATGTCCTTTGTGCTCGCGGAGATTGAGCGGCAAGGGAGGGGGGCCATCAGTTCCCGCCAGCTGATAGTTGGCTTGCATGACCATGTTTGACATTTCACTCCTGTCTGAAAGAATAGTTGAGTTATCGAAAAGGGATGTTGAAGAAAAGGGGACCAAGTTTCAAGGCGTGGCATATAGACTCGGTTTTATATGTTTTCGATATTGAGACCACAGTAAGCATACACCTTCAGTCCTGATTTTTAGGTTAGAATTTCTGACACAATTGATCAATCAGCCTTGTCAGACAACGTTGAATGTCTGACCCATTCCAGCTGAGCTCTTCAGCCCCGGATTACTGGATATCCAGAGGCATTGAGCTCGCATAAACAATACCCGATCGGGATACAATCCGCGCATTGACCCACAGGGCCGTAACAACCATCGCGACTCAGCCTCATCTGCCTCCCTTGTGCCCAGATACCTAGATACTGAACTGTCAAAACTATTCGTAAGGCTGATTGCTTCAGAACAAGCTGGAGGGTCCTGGTGGGATTGTTTAGGTCGCACGGGTTTCCCTATGCGTCCAAGCACCGGCACGCTAATCTCGATTGGGAATCAACGTGCGCTTGGTGGTTGACGGATCGGCATCAATGCGCCCCATCTGCAAGGGAATGATGGATAGGGGACCAGTGGAGTCAGCGCCGCTAAGCCTCGTGCTAGCCGATTTCTTAGATGAAGCAAGCGAGATGTGGGATCTACTGACAGTCACAAGTCCTCAGCAGGGGCCACGAGACTATGGCTGAAAGTTTAATTATGCTAATAGCAAGCATAAAAAAATGGCTAAGCCCGTTACATCCAAACGTGTCATTGGTCATTGATTCGGATGTCATTGGGGTACATGAAGAAAAGAGCAGGTAAGGAATGTTTTGCTGGATGAGGGAGGCGTTAAGTTGTCGGTCGTAACTAGGTCTAAAAGAACTACAGTAATGGGCTTTTTCAAGCATAGCTTGTATGAAGTGAGACCACGAAATTTAGGGGAAATGGTCTACGGTCCTAGTTTTAGAGATATTTCTGTGATCTTCCTGACATAAGATCTCAGGCTGTGATCAGGGTCATTATATGTTATAGTTTCATTAGTCTGTGATTCGGCTTGTCCAGTGACCTGCTGAACATCGCCCTATATTACCACCCAATCGTAAGATTATTTCATATACATCGTAGACCAATTAGTTCACCCATCCCTTGCTAATCATTGTTCTTTTCATCGAAGTAGATACATGAACCCGCGATCAATGCTATATCCACCCCCGACGCCACAATCACATTGTAGGTGTCTTGGCCAAAGAAAATATAACAAGTGGTAAACCACCTCCTGGTAATACAAGTGACTTGTTCTTCTGTATTTTCATTAATAATTCGGGTCCGACAATTGTTCTAGTTTCTGGTTATTACTAATGCCACTTGATTGCTGTGCCGGTCAGTACAGGTAGCCGTGGCTTTTGATCCAATGACTATAGCGGTTAGTAATGATCCTTGACTGTAGTTACATGGTAGGACTTACATTTGTGACTGCTCTTGACCTCGTATATTTAATTCCCCTCAGGATCCTCCATTAAACAGGTGGTATGCAGGTGCATGTGTTCCTTGTGAATATTAAATAAATGGTTGTGCTCCATGTCTTCAACATTCTTACAACCAGAAACTGAGAAGATATTACCAGTTACTTTTAAAAGTAGTACTCCTTCCCCAAGCTTAATATCAAAGCTATCCGTGGAGAAAGAGAATATCTTTTCCTTCAGGACTATGGCCTGGGGCTCCGAGGTAATGAAATGCTCAAACAGCGCAACAGGCTGGGACACTGTATTGAGATAGTGTGGATGATGCATGATGAATATTAGGCTTGGTTCAAGAAGATAGGAAGGAGGGTGAATCTGAGAAATTTAAACACACCGGCATACTTATAAGCATAACTAAACATTATAATCCTTGATCCCAGCCTCGCAGCGTACGCAAGGCTGTCCTGAATTAAGCGTATCCTTCTGGGGCCGAGATACTAACCCGATTTAGTTGCGTCCTGCGATTAGTTCATCTCCGGGGAGGTCGGTGACAATGTCTACGTCGCCCTCCACCAGCTCTTCGGTGCTAACCGCGGCGGAGCTGGCCGAGTGGTCGCAGTCCCTCAAGCCGGTGGTGTTAGGTCTCAGTATCACCATGTTGGTGCTTGGCAATATGGGCGTGATGCTATGTATCTGGGCCCAATGGTGTATTCAGAAGCGTCCCATGCCGGAGGACTATTTGCTAGTCATGGCTGTTGTATGTTTTCATTTATCCTTGCCCGCCACTCGGCATATACAAACTCAACTAAGCTTACTGACCATTCTTCTCGGCCTTTTAGCTCTTTGCCAATGTGGTCTCAATTGCCATAATTGTCGCAGTGCATTATGGACTGGGATACCACCTCTTCCGGGTTGAATCTGAAGATCCGTCGGGCATGAAGTGGATCTTCCTGTGTTTGTGGTTCACAGCCGCCTTTAATGGGTCCTTGATGCTGGCTATCAAGATTACCCTGCTCTTCTACTACTGGTGGCTGTTTATTGTGCAGCAGATCTGGCTGCGCATCTTCTGGTGGATAAACATGATATACGCAGTGCTGTAGGGTATCAGCTTGACCATTATATATATATTCTTGTGTGTGCCCGTCAGCTATTACTGGGAGCGCTTCAACCTGCAGTCAACCGTGCATGGTAGCTGCTATAATTCTACCACTGCTGACAGTCTGTTGCTGATTCTGGACCTGGTCTCCGATATCGCGATTCTGGTACTATTTATTGCTATTATTACTATTCTGCAAATGCTGCTTGCCTGCAAAATGGGGCTCATGATTATATTTTCAGTTGGATTCCTGTAAATCCCTTTCTTCCATGGCTAAATCCCACTTTGTATCTATCTATAGAACTGATTCAACACTGCAGTACTATTGTATCCGTGATTACCCGCGTTGTTGTTCTCTACAAGTCTATGAGCCTGTACTCAGACTTTTCCTATGTGGCCGCGCTCTTCGAGCTGCTGGACATGATCCAGCTCAACATAGTTATTATATGCGCAACTGCGGTGCCCATCACCTCGGGCTTCCGTGTCGCCTTCAGCAAAAAGCATCGCCGAGACAAGGACTGGACGGCCGGAGGTGCAAGCAGGAATATATACTATTATAGCCATGCCTCAGCAGCAGCACGGGCCGCATGCTTGCGACTCGAGGATGAAGCCGGCAGCAGCACTAAACGGCTGTATATGGGACACTTTACCACCAGCTGCGCCTCCAAGGACCCGGAAGATCGGACACCGGGGGGAGGCGTGGTGTCAGCGAATGGGATTATGGTGAAGATGGATGTGGATATCCGGTAGTATGAAGTAGTAGATACTGTACAAGCACATCAGGTACTAAGGCAGTAGAAATCATATTTAAATATATACACCATAATAGTAGCATACTAACCATGAAATTGGCTCTCCAGTCCCACTTCTCATTCATACTAGTAACGTAACTCCCGGCCGCGCCGGCCACCCGCCCGCACCGGCCACCCACCTACTACACACCCAACGCGTTCCTACATACAAACACTCTCCTCCTTCTCTTCTCCTCTACTTGAAGCTATTCAACCACTAACCATGCTACTATTACAGTCTAAAGTATCAAAAGATATAGCTGAGCAGGAGAACAGGATTCTGCTTATTATTAAGATTCTAAAGAAGTATTAAATTAACAGTATTTATAGTACTGTATACTTTTTTGCTGTCCCACGCTCTACTTTATAAGATTGACTACGCGGCACTTTATTTGTTTAAGAGACTTCTAATAATACTCAGAAATTGACTTCTAATGAAGAAGAATACTTTATATAATAGATTTTATTATTAGATTAATATAAAGCACCTCCCTGACTCTCTTAAGTACAAGACATGGCTAATATTCTACTCTCTAAAAGAGGTGGTTCTAAACCCTAAAGTATTAGTCACAGAAGAAATCAGTATTCAAATCTCTGTAATAAGTAATAATATGTAGGCTTTGCTAATAATAATGTTGTTTGAATAGCTTCATTCTTGCTTGCGTTGGGTGTATAGTAGGTGGGTGGCCGGTGCGGGCGGGTGGCCGGCGCGGCCGGGAGTTACGTTACTACTAGTTATAGTAGTCATCATCTCCATTCCCACTCAAGGAAAAGTTCCTACTCCACCCTCGTTGCACACCACCAAATAATTCTGGCATTATCATCCATAAACCTTGCCTTATTCCTCATATTAGTCGTCGTCTCCCCAACCTCCAACTCCGCCTGCACATCCCACCTACTCCCCGTCTTCTCCCCAATATCCCTCCACATACGCTCAAAACTCGCCACATCATGCCGATAATGCAGCATCGTCTTCTCCGTCAACCCAGTCAAATCATACACGCCCGCCACTGTACTCCCCATCTGTCTCCCACAAACCACCATCCCAACCTCCCCCCTGGTCAACCCAATCAACCGCTCCACACCACGGAGCTGCCCCTCATAATCCCAGAAATGCAGCAACGAGCCCGCCCAAATAATATCAATCTTCCCCCTCATCTTCGCCACAATCTCGGTCTTCTCCCATTCCTCGTCCGACACACCTAGATCCGCGCCCACGAACGTAGCAGGGAACGTCTCCGCATTATCACGGAACAGCCTGTACCCCAGCTCGAAGAACCCAGCTTCTAGATCAAAGCCGTATAACTGGGATGGCGGGATCGAGGCGGCGTAGACTAGATGTCGGAGCTCTTGACCGACGCAGCAGCCTGCATCGAGGAAGCCATTTGCCGGGGAGGCGCGCAGGCGGGCGAGCACATGGTCGTAAAAGGGAAGGCGGGAGAGGTGGCAGCTTAGGAAGCGCATTTGGCCGATACAGGGGTAAGGAAAGATTTGGAAGGCTTCATCTCGCTGTTCACACAAGTGGTTTCAGTTAGAGTTGGGGGGAGGGGGGGGAAGGTGTAACACTTGGGAAAGGGGAAAATAGTCTTGAGGGAGGGAACTTACCAGGGCTAAGACATGGGAAATGACTTCTTCAGGCGCGAGCCCGCTGTAACTCTCCAGCATGGATTGCGCGGCGGGGTCAATGGCCGTGACGCTGGTTTGGTACCAGGCTGGTTTGGTGGTAATGGTGGTGTCAGTAGTGGACATGATGATGGCTGAGGGAATTGTCTCGGCAGGAGGAGTCAGTATTAGGGGTTTGATGGGAGGGGTTAGAGAGTGAATTGGGATATTAAGCCATTAGAGTTTGATTATAGGGAGTGCTTTGTTAATTAAAACCCAGAAATTCTAATGTCAATTGCATTTCCCCCCTCTCCTCCCCTCCCCACGGCCTGTCCTATCTGTCCTGCAGCATCGGCGGGGGGGGGGGGGGGGGGCCGCTTAAATAGTGGTACTGTGCTACTCCACTTGTCTTGTATGGTAAGGCATGTATGCAAGGAACATGGAATCTTTAACTCCTGTAGTTGACCTGCCCAACCACCTGACTGATTTGTAGAGATTGAGACAATGCTACATACAGCTTTGCTGAAGAACTAATAACATATTAATATGAAAAAAAAAAAAAAAAAAGAGAGAAAAGAAAAGAAAAGAAAAAAAGAAAACAGGTGACTCTGCTGGCCAGGAATGAGTCTTTCTCTCGAAGGATGCACAGCCGGAAAGAGGAGTAATCAAGAAATTGTTTAGGAAAAGAAAAAAATCAACAATGCTCACATGGCACCCAAGACCAAGAGGGGTACCTAAACTAGTGCTGACACGAGCATTTAGCGTATAAAGCTTAGCCCTATATAGTACTGTACGTAGCTTGCTAATGCACACACCACCACTCCAAGAAAAAAACGATCCAACTCCGTCCAGCGCGCCACCCGTCGGATGCCCGTCAGCAAAGCCAACCGAATCCAAACTCTTCCGCGCTGCATCAGACTAGTTACTAGTTACTCCGTACTACGGAAGCAAACCAGACCATCCCTGCTTTTAATCAGCGCTACTCGTATCAGGCTATCAGCAATCATTCATCCAGACCACCTCCACAACCGCCAACGCGCTCCCCTCCACCCGCCGGACCCTAACCCACCGGAATCGCTCATCCGCCTCCTGCAGCAACCCGCGCCACTGCGCCTCGTCCCTCTCGCGCGCATTGAGCAACTGCAGCATATTCTCTAGTAGGCAAATCTTCACAACGGGACAACAGTGAAATGATGTCTGACAAGTTCAAGATTAGTATCATTCGATAGCGCTAGAACCAAGGAATACAGTGATATAATTCTCAGTCTTCTAATCAATTGTTCTATTGAATTATAAGTATTCGAAGACGGCAGTATTCACTTCCAAATATAATTAATGCATGTAACAGAAATTCAATCGGGTTAGCACATGTAACAGAAATTTAAATCGGGTTAGTACTCTTTTTCAGGGACATTAAGCCCAATTGAGTCTATTAAGTATTATAATAATAAATATTACAATAATAAGCGTTACTCTAATAAGTGTTATAAAAATAAGTGTTATTCCAATAAGTATTTTATATAATAATATGCTAATATCTTTAATATAGATTCTCAGAGGTCCTATCTATCCTATATACTAGATAACTCAAATTATATATATTTATTGGTCAGTATTATTTACTGAGTCTAAATTATATACTTTTAAGAAGTTTTGCTTTCTAGTAGGCAAATCCTCACAACAGGACAACAGCGAAATGATGTCCGACAAGTTTAAGATTAGTATTATCCGATAATGCTGGAAACAGAGAATACAGTAATATAACTCTCAGTCTTCTAATCAACTGTTCTGTTGAGTTATAAGTATTTAAAGATAGCAGTATTCACTTTTAAATATAATTAATATATATAACAGAAATTTAATCAGGTTAGCGCATGTAATCAAAATTTAAATCAGATTAATATCTTTTTTCAGAGACACTAAGCCCAATTAAATCTATTAAGTATTATAATAATAAATATTATAATAATAAGCATTACTCTAATAAGCATTATAATAATAAATATTATAATAATAAGCATTATCCCAATAAGTATTTTATAAAATAATATATTAATAACTTTAATATAGATCCTCCGAGTTCTATATATTCTATATACTAGAAAATTTAAATCATATATATTCATTACTTAGTATTATTTATTATATCTAAATTATATACTTTCAAGAAATTTTACTTATTATAAAAATATTAATATATAGTAATCTGTGCACTTGCCTACAGTCAGTTATAAGAAAAGAGAGATTACATAATAATTTAATTAATAAATTATAAAAATAATAATATTATAAAAATAAAATAGAAAATCTTAAATATAATATTATATTAATATTTTGAACCTCTGTGATCCCACCGTGCGAGCAGATAATAGAGGGGAATAATATTATAATTAATAATTTTATTATAATTTTTATAATTAGATAGTATTCTTTCTGCAGAGAATAAATAATTAAGTAGATAATAATATTTTTATAATACTAGAAGTTTTTTATTTATTTAGTATATTTTATTAGTTTATCTCTCTGCGGGGCTGCTGAGCTTATATTTTAATAATTATTTTCAAACTTCCACGATTTCAGCAGGGAGTAAATAGTTGTTACGGACCCCTGCTAGTTAATCTACTAGTAAGGCGGACTCGCCAGGCAGAAAGCGCCGATAAGGGCAGCGCTCGGGCAAAGCCAAGTTGTTATTTAGTACAATTCCCGATTACCTTTACGACGCCCAGAACGGCCACGCATCACGTGATCACGGTATACACACGGATCTATGGTATATGGTATACCATCCCGGTCTACAACTACCATGGCGGTATACGACAGACCTAATGGTATATGATATGGTATACGGAGGATAGGATATATAAGGACACTCCTTCATGTACTTAGTTAGTTCTGTTCTTCGTGCTCAATAACACTGTCTTTAAGTAACCATACATTTGGAAGCTTAGCGATAGAACACTCGTCCGCACTTACTTACGGATAGCTGCGCGGCACTATCTGGCCTTACTTCTCTTCTCGTGTCCAAGACCAGTTGTCCTTAGATAGTCATCAGCCTGATACTTCCTCGACCCAGTTCGACGGTACGTATACCAGTGAAGCTAAGCTAACCGGGACAGAGAAGCGATCCTAGGGTTTGACACATTGAGCACCAGTCAGTACGAGTGTTCACCAGTTATAACCATCCATCATGTCGACTACTTCAAGTTCACCGCGCACTCCGCAGCAGGGCTCCAGTGCCCAAGGAGGAGGGCAACAGCAAGGCCCGACGACGCAGGAATTGATGGGTATGGTTAGTCAGTTGCAAGAAAGCATCACTGCCCTGGAGCAACGGAACCAGTTACTCGAAGGTCGATTGGC